CTATATATATATATATATATATATATATATATATTACCGACTAGACTGAATTGTGAAAGGTCAGAGGTACGGGAGAGTAATAGTAATACCAATACGAGTAAGGAAAAGCAGCACTGTCGCCGAGGGATTCTTCCTCCACCACAATCGTGCGTCTGCCTCCTCGCGACTTCTCTCGATTGTTGCCATTACATCTGTTTTTTTTTCCCGCTGCACATACAACGCTGAAAGTGTCAACACTGTTCGCACTTTGCTATCCTTTTGGGTCTCTTCCCTCGCGTTCTCTCTCTCATACTTATTTTGCGCTGGTCTGTCGCTCATCGCTTTGCTTACTTGCTTTTTTCCCCTTGTTGTTCTTCATACCTGCTGGCTGCATTTCCAGCCTGTTTTCTTGGCGCTTGTCCCCCTGCCGACCTTTCAAGGACATTCGTTCTCTTTGTCCGACCTGCTGTCTATTTCACGCGCAAAAGAGAAAGAAGAAGAAGGGGAAGGTGTTTGAGAGGGTTTTTTAATAGCAGCTGTTGCTTTCCTTTCTTCTAAAAAAATAAATACAATTTGATTTCTTGAAAATAAATAAAAGCTTTCTTCGTTGCTTTGCGTTGTCTTTGCTGGTTTGGGCCTTTTCTTTTTCTCTCAGCACCGTTTTCTGTACACCCTTCTTCCTTACTTCTTTTTTTTTCTCTCTCTCTTTCGTGGTGTTACTGCGGTCTTCCCATCGGGGTGTTTCCTCGTAACGCACATAATCAGAAGGAAGAGCATTCACCGCTTGTATACTCTCAAGCCACCAACAGCAGCAGCAGCATCATCAGAAACAGAGGAAGAAGAGTCGCACTGCTTAACAGAACCGCAACTGCTGTGTGTTGTCTTGACAACTCTGCGGAGGGTAACGGTGTGAGTAGAGCGTGCTGTCTTGGAGAGGAACTACAGCTCTATCTTCTTTATTTTACTCAAACACGCACATCGAAGTTGTCTTGCTGAGCGCGCAGCGGCTGCTACACAGCACTACGCCGTTCCTTATAAGAATAATAAATTTCTCTGGTGCCCGCTTCTTCTGTGTACCCCCTCAAGCTGCAACATGGCGTCCCCTACCTCGGCGAATGGTGTGCGCAACGCAGCAGCCGAAAGGCCCTCCTCTTCCGCGTCTCACGACTCCTGCCACGGCGAGGAAAAGTGTTGCAGAGGAGCCAAAGGCAAACCAGTGAAGCGTGTCCCCCGCACTTCACAGATGGTCGTCAAGGTCCGCGACTGCCCCGCCAGCCAGATGCCGATCGAGCTGTGCTATCAGTGCTTCGGCGACCCGAACGATGGGCTGCCCCCGGTACTGCTCATCAGCGGCCTGAACATGCAGCTCTACGCGTGGGACGAGGAGTTTTGCGAGTCGCTCGTGCGGGCCGGCTTCTACGTCGTGCGCTACGACAATCGAGACATGGGCCACTCGACGAAAGTGGAACACCGCGGCCGCGTGAAGGCGCCGCTGCTGCTGCTGCCCGGCGGTGCAGCCACCTGGTTCGGCGAGAAGCTGCCCTACAGCGTGGAGGACATGGCGGCTGACGCGTGGGCGCTGCTGGACACGCTGCAGATCCCGTGCGCGCACCTGTTTGGGATCAGCATGGGTGGCATGATCGCGCAGGCCGCCGCGCTGCTCGCACCGGGGCGGACGATGAGCCTGACAAGTGTGATGTCGTCGACGAACGCGGCGGACTTACCGCAGCCGCAGCTATGGGTGAAGCTGTGGATGTTGCGCCGGCCGCCTCGCCACTGCACGGTGGACGAGCTGCTAGAGTTTCGCGTGAACTCGCTGCGCCGCCTCCTGCGCTCCGCTCTGCCGCCCGACGGCGAGTACCTGAAGAAGCGCTTTCTGATGTCGCTGAAACGCAGTTCCTACTCGGCCGGGCTCGTGCGACAGGCCGCCGCGATTCGCCGCGCCGCCGGCCGCGATGCGGCGCTGCAGACGTTGTGTGTGCCGGCGCTGGTCGTCCACGGGGCGCAGGATGTCGTTGTGCCCCCGATGCACGGCTACCGCACGGCGACGATGCTGCCGTACGCCCGCATGCTGGTGCTGAAGAGCATGGGGCACTACTTCCATCCCGCGTTCTTCTCGACGATCATCGAGGCCTTTGCGGACATGGCGGCCTCGACAGACCCGACGAGGCGTCGGCTCGGCTCACGGCTGCCGTCGGCGAACACGCTGCAGCTGGCGGGGGTGGTGGAGAAGGGGAGGGCGACAGATGGCAACGCGTCTGCGGTCGCCGCGTGGAAGCGTGGGGGTGGCTTTGTGACCTCGTCGCTCGCGAGTGAGCCGCGCCAATGCAACGCCGAGGCTTCTCCTGCGAGTGGGGCGGCACCGCCTCCCTCCGGTCTGCCCGACAACAGTGGCAAGGACAAGAGCGCAGACGGTACGGATCCCTCCACGGAAGCGGCTAGGGAGGACGGCGCTCTTTCCGCGAAAGGAAAGGAAGGAGAGGCCGAGGAAGACGCCGAGGAAAGCGCCGAGGAGCCCGAAGAAGGAGAGGTGAGTCAGGTGGACCCCAGGACGTTGATGATGGCCTCCATGGGTGCCTTCATCCAACCCGTCGTCGCAGACGCGTCCTCTCCTGTTGGCATGGCTGCCTGCCGCTCCGTCATGGTCGCCGTGCCGGGCGGCAGCAGCAATCCAGGCGTGCCGGAGGCCGTCATTGTGGAGAACATGTTCCTGCGCACACCGCACGCCGTGCCGTCGACGCCGACGCCAACGGTGGTGAAGAAGCCGATCTCGCCGGCCACCTCCCCGACAGCGAAGAGCTCCACTACAAGCGCACTGCCCGCGCAGCTGATGCGCCCCCCTCACCCCCAGAACCGCAGCAGTCACAACAGCAGCCCATCTCCTGCCACGAGCCCCACCACGGCCAACTGTTGGCCGCTGCCTGGCAAGGTGTACGCGTCTCCCTTGGCCACTGAAGAGGAGAGACTGCATCATGAGAAGGATGGCGCCGCCTTCCCAAGGCCGCCGCCGATGGATGGGGCAACGCCGTACATCCCTTGCAGCCCGTCACGCTGGCACGATGCGGCGCCGTTCCCGCAGCGCAGCACCAACGCCAAGGCCAAAAATGGCGCGACGCCGGCCTCCGAGGCGCAGATGACGGCCTATCCACTGTTTCACCCCGTCGTGGTCGGTGTGCCGGTGGGCGAGTACCTCGAAACGCACCCGGCGGAGCGGGAAACGAGTGGGCTGGTCATCGCTGCGAACGCCGCCGGTGCTTCCGCTGCCGCCGCTGCCGCCGCTGCTGCTGAGGTCTTCGATCTTCATGATGAGCGGGTCGGTGCGCCGCAGCCGCCTCAGCAGAAAGTGGGAGGGGACTTGCTTGCAAAGACGGTCGACACGTCCGAGGCGCAGACTGGCAAAGGCGCGTCCACACTCCGCCAGTCAGCGCCCCACTACGGCACTCTCCCCATCTCTCTGCGGCTTTCGCCGGCTGAGCTGACCGACACGGCGTCTTCGGAGGTGTTGAAGACCGACAAGGCGCGCGGCGCGGAGGCCACACACGCTGCCGGTGGGAAAGACCACGAGGACAGAGAAGCAACAGCCGTGGCAGCAGCAACAGCAGCCAAGGAGTACGACGGCTGCCGCTCGCCCGCCTCCCGGTCGTCCTCGCAGGAGCGGCGCGAGAACGAGTCGTTCTTGCAGACGCAAGCGTCCGAGCTCCTGGTCGAGGCAACAACTTTGCCATCCATGTAGCGGAGGCAAGCGATGGGGAAAGAAGCGGCGAGACGCTCTACTACTTTTTTTTTCTCTCTCTGCCGTGCCAACGCGCCGTTCATTCGTGGGAGAGCAGCATCATCATCGTCAGCATCAACAAACAACGCCAAAAAAAAAAGTAAAGGTTGCGCCATTCGTGGCGATCTCCACGACCCTTCTCGATTTGATACTCATACTGTTTCTCCCTCTTTTTTTTTTTGAAGCGGCGGTGACGGAGCTTCCACTCCGGCTGCGTATGCATGTTAGCTGACGCGTGGTATGACGCTGCATGCCCTTCTTTTCCGGCTCATGTGCACTCTATCCTCTTCTTTCCTCTTGCTGCTGCCACGTGCTGTGGTTGGGCACCATTCTCTCCCTCACCGCAACGGCTGATGCTACACAGCTCTGTACTGCCCAGTGGCATCTCTTCCTCTTTCCTTCTTTTTTAGTTTCCTCGTTCGCGAAGACCAGCGTTGGTGTGAGGGGTGAGTGGATTGAAGGCGAAAAAGTATGCGCACGCAGGCATTAGCGCTCCTTCTCGACCAAACCAACAAAAGCGAGCGTGCTACACCCGCTGAAGCCGCGTACAGGCAGCTGACTCGGCTGCTACCACGTCGTACTATTTTGATTACTTTTTAAAGTATTTATTGCTGTTATTCTCTTCTGCGGCACATTCATTCGTGGTTTTTGTTTTTCTTTACGTTCATAGAAGACAATGGAAGGCGGCCCGACCAGCAGCGGCGCCAGCAGTGGCAGAGCCACGCCTGACCCGGCAGCGGAGCCGCCGTGGCCTCTCTCACGCGCCAACGCGGTGGGCACTGTGCACCGCCGCTCCCCCTCACCGGCAACGGACGATCTCGAGATGGGGCTGGTAGATGGGCCAGGGGGCGACGACGGCGGCGGCGGCGCCGCTGATGTCCCACTCGGGGGGCGGTTTCTTCACCCCCCCGGCTTCCACCCCCACCCCTGCATGACCGATCGCGAGACGCACCAGGGCACCGACGACGCCGGAGGAGGCTCGAGGTCCCACGAGATGCAGCGGCTGTCGCTGTCGCACCACCGTAACAGCCTTGTGAATTCGTTGGTACGGCCACCAACGGCGAGTCATACTCCTGGCGATGCCGACACCGCCACCGCCGAAGCTGACGCATCCCAACCACAGATGCCGTTGCTTGGCGTCCGTGCCGCGTCCGGCACGGAGGTAGCGGCAGCAGAGGTGACTCCGAATGCCGCCGTCGCCACCGCCGCCGCACCGCGCAGCTCCCAACGCAGTCGTTATGTGAATGCGGCCCCCGACCATGACCGTGTAAGGCCGCACACACCGATCTACTACGAGGCAGGTCCCTCGCCTTCTGCCTCCTCACCCTCCGCCCCTCGACTGACACCGAATGCGTCGAGAAGGGCAGCCCTCTTCAATGAGGAGCAGCTGCGACCCGTCTCCGCACGCCTCGACACCCCACCGCCAGCAGCCGCGGCGAGGCGAGAGGCAGCCGCCACACCTGCAGCACGAGCGATTGCACGGGATGCGCTGATGTTCTTGTCACCCCTGGCGCGTGAGGCACGCATCGCCACTATCGAGGAGCGCCGTGTACGGCACTTATATCACAACCGCCCGCGCATGCGGCTGACGGCACGGCCGCGGATCGTGGAGAACATCGTGCTCGACCGCACCAAGTGGGAGCAGCCGCTCTGCTACCTCCCGCTCTTTCTGCCTTGCATGCAGAACGCCTTCTACCGCGTGCCGCAGGGTGCCAAGCTGCGGACGGCGGCGTGGGAGCCGAACGTGTCGAACCCGTTTTCTCCGAGTGTGATCTACTCCGGCACTGCGGGGAGTGCCGGTCCGCCCGAAGACCCCCGACAGACCCCCGCTGTTGCCGCTGCTGCTGCGGATGCCGCGTCGACGGAGTCTGACCTATCGGTATCTACCGCAGCGTTCTACCACGTGCCTCCCACCTCCTCGCGACTTACGATGCGCAGAGAGGTGACGCAGGCAACGGCGACCTCCGCAACGCCGCTACGGCGCCCCGGTGCGCAGCTGACGGCGACGGTGGCGGCGGACCGCGTACTTGTCAACCGCCATGGCGCCGCATCTCCTCCTTCGTTCTCCTTTGTCGATAACTTCCGTCACTTGCTGTACCGCTGCTTCTGTGTGCGGTGCGCCATCGCCGCCCAGGCGGAGTCCCTCCAGGCGGACATGAAGATGCGGTCCGCGGTGCCTCACCAATTCCCGTGCTGCTCGTGCTTGAAGGTCGAGTCGCGCTCCTCGTCCGAGCTGCTCTGGATGGTGTGCGCGATGGACGCGCTGTCACTCGGTGCTCCCTGTGGGTGTTGCTGCTACCAGGGATTGGGTACCGCGCTGTACGGGTGGCACCTGCGGTACTTACTGCGCGCGCGCTATCGCATTTTTTCGTGGACAGTGTTGGACTTGCTGATCATGTGCTGCATCCCCGGCCTGGCGGTCGATCAGCAAGGGGCGGAGCTGTTGCTGAACGACGTGCCGGAGACACCTGTTGGGCTGCGGTTTATGCATTAATCTGCCCTTTTCCTGTCTCTCCTCCCCATTTTTTCCTTTTGGTAAAGCTGTCTCTGTCCTGTGTGTTGATGCCGGCCCGTCGTCCACGGCTGTGCCGACAAGAAGTTATTGCGTTTCCGATGTTTCCACTGGTTGCGTTGCGTTGGTGAGACAGCTAGGCGTTATGCATGTATTTGGGTGTTGTGTCGAAGGAAAGCTCATCGTTTGTGGTGTTCTTCTCCTTCTCTTATGCTGATGCTGATGATTATCTGCCGGTGTCTTGTAGTTCTGATGCGTGTAGTGGTATCTCTAGATGTGCCTCTCGCTGCGTGTGTGTGGGTGTGTGGCCCCGTTGCCGGTTGCCACTTTTCGTCTTCTGCGCCGAATATCTCCATATTTATATCTTTATCTTTATATTTGTATTTATATCTTTCACGGCCACGGACTCTCCGTGGTCGCCGCGTCGTTCAAGCACAGTTCTTTCACGTGTTTTTTTTTCTCCTTCCCTTGTTCTTTGACGAGAGGCATCTCGAGAGGATAGATGTATACGTTAAAGTGGCGTTCAGGGGGCGGTACATCCACTTCGTACGTCTAGCCTCGATCCAGGGTGGTTTTTTCCTCATTCATCCTTTATCGTGTTCTGCTACTTCATTTGTGTTTCCTTTGATTTCATTCCTTTTGTTTTGTCCGCTCGTCGCGTTTGTCGTTGTTGCCGTTTTACTAATTTATTCTTCTCCTCTCCGAATAATGTAGCCGCGTGTATTTGATGTCTCTTCCACGTGCACGGTCTCGTGAGCACTTCTCGCTGGCGACGTATATATATATTTCTTTCTCCCTCTCTTCTCGTTCTCTTTCGTATCATTGCGATCTTTCTTGAAAGCATAAATATGTGGCATAAGGAAAGAAAAGAAAACGAAGTGTGTTGACGTCGCCGCAGGTGTGGTGTGGCAGAGTGTGCGTGTGTGTGTGTGTGTTGGGGGAGACCATCACACGTGTAACGGTGCTTGTGCAGAAATCTAAGTTTTGTCTCTTCTCTCTCCTCTCCCTCCCTCTTCTCCTTGAAGTGGCATCGCCAAAATAAGGCGTAGGCGTCTCCCGCTGCGATGTACGTGAAGTGTCGCGCCTCTTTCGGTCCTGTACTGAACTTTTATCCCCCTCTCTTTTTTCCCCTTTTCGTGCTTTCTCTTTCTTACGGGTCTCCCGTTTTCTTTCTAGGCTGAGAGTGTGGCAACGGTACGTTCAAACCGGCAGCAAAAGAACATCCATCACACACACACACACACACAGACACACGCTTTCACATGACTTACGCGCTGCTGCTGCTGCTGCTGCTGAGCAGCTGGCGGTGCTGCGTGAGGAGCAGCTTGCGTCTCGCCGCACTGTTGAGGCTCACATGTCTGCTTTTAGAAACGCAGAGCAGCAACTGCACGCGGCCCAGCGGCAGGAGACACAGCTAAGTGAGATGCTGCGAGCCGCACAGCAGCGCACGGTGTACCGCACACGTGAATTTGCAGCGGCCGAGGCGCGGCTGCGTGAGGCGACGGAGCAGCTGGCTGCAACGCAATCTTTGTGTCATTACTTAGCGAGCCAAATAGCCCTGCATGCGAAGTGTCAGCGCAGCGCGCTTCTGCTGACCCCCTCCTCGACTTCAAATGGGACTCCTCCACCTTCGCGTACTTCGTCTGCTTCTGATGTTGAGGGGAATCGACACGAGGCACAGTTGCCGTCGTCGCGGGAACAGCAACAGCAGCAGCAGCAGCAGCAGCTGTGTTGGATGGACCCTTACAGTGTTCTGCATGTGCCTTCCGGCAAAGTCTTTAGCTACGACCTGGTCACCGCGTTCGGCGCAGACGCCCTCGACGACCCTCCTGAAAACGAGGGAATCAGAGAAGGTGAGGGGTGCGAGGACAGAAGAGCGGACGACAGCGTGCTGTGCGACGAGGACGGCGTATTCGATGGCGTCCGCACACGTGCGAGCCTCGTGTCTCTCCTCAAAGATGTTGTGCACGACGCCCTTCAGGGATTTCACTACACGCTGCTCGAGACACGCACAAGTTCCACTGCTGTCTACAGCGATACGTTGTTCACCTCAACCTCGTCTAAGCGGTCAGCAGAGGGCGAAGATAGCTGCGAGCAGCAAACACACGTCGACACGGGTCGACTGCCAAGCCAGCAGTCGGTCACGACGGGCCAGCTGACGCATCGCCTCTTGGAGCTGCTGCAGACGGAAGCGGTGCAGTGCGGCACCCAACGCCTCAGCGTGTCCTTTGCCGTCGGCCGCGTTGCAAAGTCGTCCGTGGCTGCCGCGGCGCACATCGAGGACCTTTTGCGCCCTCTTGTGGACCAGCAGAACGCCCCTTCGCGAGGAGGGCTGCGGCGTAGTGGGGGTGCGGCGAGGCAAACAGTCAGTACGGTGTTGATGGATGCTGTGATGTGCGAGGCGGAGGACGACGGCGAGCGATGCCCACGCGGCGCTTCGCCGTGGAGGAGAGGGACTGTCTCGCATGGCACGGCACGGCGAAGCTCTTCGCGAGCGCGGTTTTCGCCCATCAACGCGAACATCACTCAGCAGCACGCTACGGCAGCCTCGAAGCCGCTGCCCGCCCCTTTCTCCTGTACGACGGCGGCGACGACAACCCTGACCGGCGTGCAGGTGCGCTCCCTCGCCGAGGTCGATGACTGGCTAGAAAGGGTGGGGCTACCGCCCTTCAAAACGGATGATTCCGTAGGCGCATGGTCAAGTGCTCCGTGCATCGTGTTAGTCGGCGTCGACTCGCAGGACGCAGCGGGCAAGGTGCATAAGTCGCTGCTGCGTATCGTAAGCGACGCTGCATTTACGGCTAGCCTGCCCGCCACTGAACTCGCTCGCGGCGCCCCTGCTAAGGGAGACACGGCGAGTAAGAGAGGTGCCTCCGACAACGCGCTCCACCACACCTCTCCGCCACAGGCACTGACGTCGCTATTTGGATGCTTTATGCTCCACGCCGTAGCAGCGGTGCTGCGGGCCGCATACAAGCCACAAGGGCTCACAAACACGTCTGAAGATGCACCGGCGCTGCTGTCGTTCGCGGCCCTACACGAGGGAGACGGCGGCGACGACGAAGCGCCCGACCTGGAGAGCTTCGTGGAGCAGCTGCTCGCCCAACCACATTCCAGTCCGTCCGCAACCGAGATACGCGCCGCCGTGCTGTCCATCGTGAACTGCCCTGACGAAGTAGGAAATCACTGTGCGACGGCCGCCGCCGCGGCTGCTGTGGAGGGGCGAACCACACAGGACATTAGTGCTGAGTGGAGACTGTGGGCTGCGCTGCTCCGACCAGTTTTTGGCGGCAACAGCAAGGCGTTGTGGCTGCACACCGCCCGCAGCGCAGCGGACGCGTCGTCGACGGACGGGCTTTACAAGACGGGTGAACGAGGAGTTCCATTTCGTCCCGACAAGGGAAGGAGGCGAAGCGAGGCGGCGCCCTTCTCGGCGGATGCGGCGTTGGGGCTGTGCGCGTTGTTTTGTCGGCTTGTCCGCCACGCTGCGGTGCCGAGTGCGGTGTCCGCCGATCTCGATCGGCTGCTGCGTGAGGGGCGACTGTAGGCGCGGCTACCAGGACACACAAATTCTCTCCTCGTGTGCCCTTCTTTCTTACTTCTGCCCTACTAGATCCACAGCTTTATAGATGCACCGTGCGCTGCTAAAATAAGGAAAAGAAGGAAGACAGCATATATGTAGAGGGGAAAACGAACTGTCAAAAGTAACTGCGCAACACCATGGATAAAGTGCATCGAGCTGTCATCCATGCTTCGTTCTGCTTTCCCGTTTACGACCGTTGCGCCAAAGGACGAGTCACGTGAAGTTCTTAAAGCTACCTCAGCAGCTCTTCTAGGGACGGACATCCGCCAAAGGAAAGCACTCCGAATACGCCTGTCCATCTTCTGCCACCGTAACTCCGCTGTTGACTCTTTCCGACTCTATTTTTTTTTACTGTTCTGTCTGACGGCTTCTCCACTCCTCACAGCAAGGTACCACAGCGTAGCGGTCCACACCGCACACACCGACCCGCACATCAACGTATAGATATTTGCTCTCTTTACTATTGTTAGTATTATTATTTGTTCTGGGGAGAGGGAGAGAGAGAGGATAATTTGGCCTGTGTCAAGTTCACAGCTGTGACCACTTCTCCCGCGCGTACGTTGAAGAAGACGGAGCGCACGTGTGTACGTGTGTGCGTGTGGGATGGCTTGCGGCTGCTCATTCTCTTTTTCGTGAAGTCGCCTATCGGTGTAATTGGGCCTTGCTGCGGTCCGCCGCGTCACTGCCGCCGCCATCGTTTTTCCTTTGTACTACTGCGATTTGACTTTTTTAAATACCCCCCTTTTCCCCCTTTTCTCTCACTCTCTCTCTTTCGGGTCTCTTCGTCGTTGCTGCGGTGGTTGCGTGCGTGTGTGATGCACGGCAACTCAGCTATTCATTCTGGTCCCTCGCTGCTGCAGCACCGCGAGTACTTCTGCACCTTCGCTGTGGCGTTGCGTACTGCTCTCGTCTGTTCTGTTCTTTTCCTTTCTCCTTTGTCTCGACAGCATTCCTCCTCCTTTTGTATTCCTCTGCCTTTGCGGACACGGCCGGTGGTCGTTTGCACGTAAAGCTTAAGCACGCACACAGTAAACAAAACAAAGGGGAACTTGCCGTTCCGTAAGGCTTAGCGGCTGAACTCACCGCTGCTCCCACATACCCTCTCTTCACGTTGGTGCCAGCGACAGGAAGAAGGCACCGCTGCCTTCGCCGATCGAAACACACACACACACCAAAGCAGGAAGGCGCGATACATAGAACATCACGTGACGCTTGTGAAACCTTTTCTATTCATGTCTTCACGAAGCGGGCGTGACATCATATACACGTTCTCTCTCTTGATTGTCAGAACACACATCTGGAATAGGTGAGTTAACCTGCGTGCTCCTGCTGTTGTACGGACACACCGTTGACACAGCGGTGCAGCTCTTCTTTATTAAGGTTGACATTATCGTTCATATTACCCTTGTGCGCGTGGTTTTGGAAAAAGGCAGGAAAACAAAGAAAGAACACACACCCGCATACAGGGAGTCGTTCTTGCTTTGCGGATGAGTCATGGCAAGCGCATGCTGGAGGCGCAAGCGCAGAAGGAGCGCTCCTCGACCACGCGCGACGACGGCCGCGTAGACGACGGACACCTGCGCAACACCAACCGGGCGTTCAATAACGACGGTACCCCGGTGCGGTCCGGCCAGCGCGGCGCCGGCGGCAGCAGTGGACGACGAAGTGGAGAGGAGGGCGAGGGAGCCGCACTGGATGCGCAGGGGCGTCACCTCGATCCGTCACCGCCGCCGCGACCGGGTATGCAGCCGAGTCGCGAAGAAGGCGGCACGCGCCGTAGGAGTGAGCAAAGAAGTGTGCGGAAGAGCCTTTCCACCCCGCAAGTCAGCCTCGGACAAGCGCAGAGGGTCGGCGCAGGTACACCTGAGGAAAACAGTCGTGGGCGGCGCCAGGGGGAGGCGGAGGCGGAGACGGAACAGCGAGGGACTGCACGGCAGATCGACGTCGACGCCGACGCACTCTCCGGCAGCGACGACGACGATGCGAGGGAGGCTCCTGAAGCGCTTACAGCAGGAGGACGCATCCCAGAAAAAGAGTTCTCGAGAGCAGCACGTCCGTCGGGGTTTGAGGGACGTAGGAGTCGTGAGAGAAACGAAGCCCAACCGAATCCGTGGTCGTCGCAGGAAGGCGAAGGAAGGAAGCGTGGCAGCGGCTCTGCGTCCCAGGGCGGCAGCGCACCCCGCTACCCGGCAGACCGCATACACCTACAGGACGCCAGGACGGCGGTCTCCCCACCCCGGCCAGCGTCTTCATCGCCGCCCAACACGGGAGACAGCAGCTGGACTCCACCGGTCACTTCACGGCCGACGGCGCCGCCTCCACCGCCTCTGACGGTGACAGCGACCGGCTCGGCATCTTCGCGGTCCTCTGCCTCCTGCACACCCGTTGCAGGAACCACCCAAGACGAACGGCGCAGTCGAACGCCAAGTCGTTCCCCTCCATCGGTGACCCTCACGAAGACGTCCCTCGCCGGCTTCCGACCAGCCCCGCCGCAGAGGCCGATCACGGCAGCGCTGCATCCCCCCTCTACCACACCCAACGAGGACAACACCACCAACCGCAACTATAGGGCTTCTGCAGAGGCTGCTGTGCCAGCTGAGTCGCACAGCTCGCAGGGCCGACGCCCACCCCCGCTCTCTCCTCCAGATCCCTCCGTATCGTCCTTGTGCAAGCTCATGAGCACTGCCGCCTCCACCACCACCACCACAGCAGCTCCAGCAGCCCCACAACCCCTTTTGCACATCTCCCCCGCCTCCCCTCCGCTGAGGGCAGGGGTGTCGCCACGCATGCTGCCGCGGCACCCAACGCGATTTGATCCTTCCGCCACCGCCTCCTTCTCCGCTTCTCGCGCGGCTAGTATGAGCAACACGATGTTGCCGTCACCATCCCTGTCACAGCAGCAGGAGCAGCAGCAACCGAGTTCACAGTCCTCTCCGTATGATGCGCAGCAGCAAGAGTACCTTGTGCGGGTGCGGAGTGAATCCTTCTCTACAGCTCCGCAGGCCGACAGTGAAGACCCTGCGCAAGTGAACGAGGAGGAGAAGACGCATCCCTCGGGTGCCTATCGTGGCTTCGCACCGAAGAGGAGTGGAGAGACGCACATGCCTGCGGCGGGCGACGACGGCTGGCGCTCCATTCCTCCTTCGCCACTGCCGTCCACGCTGCCCAGCGATGGTTTCGTGGCGACTCTCTCGCCCGCTGCTGCGGCGCCGGACACTTCTCACACCCTGCCTTCCATGGCACCAACCGATGGCGTGTCGACGGGGGAGTCAACCGCGCAACCTCCGCTACCGGCTCCTGCCTTCTCCAACGATGCTCCTATTTCGCCATCCTCTCTGCTCCCTAGCTCTCCACATCAGGAACACTGCCGCTACCTGCGCGACTTCAGCGGCTTCCACAACGCCGGCAACGACTGCTACGGCTGCAGTGCGCTGACGATGCTGCTGCGGAGCACCGTCTTGCGACGCGCGCTGCTATGCTCCCCGCTCGTGACGGCGGTGCGCCGGTACGAGTCTCTGCTGGCCCGACGGCCGGAGAGACGGGTGCAGTGGACAAGCGGCTACGTCGATACACTAACCCCGCAGGAGACCAAGAAGTGCAAGAAGCGCCGGAGGTCGGAGAAGGAGGCGGCGGAGGAGGAGGGGATGGTGGCGGAGGTGTGTGGTCTCCCCTCTCTTCTTCTTAGTGACACGACAGCGACTCAGGCAGACATGCCGATCAGCGACGGCCCGACGAGTGCGGTGCAGCAGACTCTGGATCTTGTGGAAACCCTCACCCTGGAGGAGCTTGAAAGTGTACTGCGTGTGGATCTCGAGACCGGGTGCATCCCGGTCACCCTTCACGCGGCGCTCGCGGCGCTGGCGCGGGCAGTGCGGTGGCGAGAGCACATGACGGCCGTCATCAACGCCTCCTCCACGTCTCCGGCAGAGCGGCGGTGGCTGCTGGAGGAGAAGATCTACCACGAAAACGATCGCCTCTTTGATGGACAGGTGTACACCTACGGCATTCGACTGAGCGCCGTCGCCGCGCTCTTCCAGGGCGAGTTTTTCTTAGGAGAACAGGAGGACGCGCATGAACTGTTTGTGGCGTTGATGGCGAAGCTCGAGGCGGAGGCGGTCGACTTCCAGAAGGGCTGCACGGAGGTGCAGGAGGAGCGACAACGCGCAGCACATCGGTACGACCACGAAGGAGAACAGGAGCGAGAGGAAGCAGTGATGGCGGACAGGACGGCTGCCGTGGTGATGACGGTGGAGAGCGCAACATCGTCTCCTGTTGTCCCCGGCGTGTCAACGCCACCTCCTACTCCGGCCATCTCCACCGCCATGGCGGACGCGTGGATCAACTCGCTCGTGCAGGCGCGTCTGCTGAACATCATTCGCTGCCGCAGCCCCGGCTGCCAGCACGAGATCGTCACCGACGAAATTTGCGTGAACTTGTCGCTGCACATACCGGAACAAGACGGAGAGGACGTCAAGACGGAGAGGAATAGAGGTCAGCAGCAGCAGCAGCAGCATCTGCAGAGTTCCTCCGCAAAGGCGGAGCACACCGCCGACCCCGACCACCCATTGCCAGCTGAGGAAAAGCGTGACTACTTCTTCTTTCTCCCTCATATGAAGTCCACCACCAGCCTGCCCCAACCAGCGCCAACAGAGACGCCGCCCACCGCTGTCACTACTCGACCCTCTCCGCCGTGCAGCGTGGCCGCTCTCCTGCACCACTCCATGGCCTTCGAGCCCCTCAGCGACTACCGCTGCGACGTCTGCGGGTCCAAGACCGCACAGTACCAGGGTGGCTGCTTCTACACCCGCCCCCCACCCGTCCTCGTGCTGCAGCTGAAGCGGTTCTCCACCGACTTTGTGGACGGCGCCTTGCGCATTCAGAAAAACAGCCGTCCCGTCGCGGTGGGCGACACACTCGTCACGTACGCGCTGCCGAGCACGGAGGAGGAGGAGGAGCGTCGTCGGCGACAAGGGCGGCAGCCACTGCGCACCGTGGCGCTGGCGGAGGTGGCGGCGGATATGCAGGGATGTGAGGTGACGAATTCACAAGGAAGCACCGCGGTTGCAGCGGCAGCGGCACACGCGCAGTGCTTTTTCTACAATGCCGAGGATAAGCGCTTCACCTGCATCTCGCAATCCCCGTCACACGAGACGCCTGCTTCCACAGACTCAGGGGAGACGACAGCGGCGGAGTGGGTGACGGCGATCCGCAGTGTGTACCGTCTGCGGAGCTGCGTGCTGCATCTTGGTAGTAGTCTCCACTTTGGCCACTACGTGTCCGACTTCGCCGTAGACGGGGAGAAGGTGGAAGACGAAGGGGAAGGTGAGACGAAGAATGCTGGCAACACCCGCCATTACAGCAGCGCAGAGTCGGCGGAAAATATCGCGGCAGAGAGGCGCGTCACCGTGACGCCGTGGATTACCGGCGGCGCTGCGTCGTCTGCCGTCGCGCATTCTATTCGTGACAGCGCTGCGGACCACGCGTCGCTGCATCGCCGCTGGCGCCGTGCGAACGACGAGCGTGTGGAGGTGCTTGACGAGGCGGCGGTGCGGACACGTCGCGTGGGCCACGCCAACGTGTACCTTCTCTTGTACGAGAAGGTGGCGGAGGAGTGGGTGCGCTGCCCACTGGACGCGGTGCTGCCACGGCCGGTGTACCCCGCCGAGGAGGCGCAAGACAAGAAGGACGACGCAGCGGAGTGAGATAGAGGGGAGGGGGGAGGGGGGAGGATGTGAGCGGGGAGAGGGCTGTGCCTCCTGCACTGTTTTGTCGCCTCTTCTTCTTCTTGGGGGAGAATCGTGTACTGTCGAGGTGGACCACCTTTCTTTTATTAGCTGCCCTTCCTGCGATGCTGGTGGCAGTGCGCAGAGGTACAGCCCCCCAAAAACGAGCCATGCAGACGACAAATGGACGGATAGGTGTGCACGGCGGAAGCGGAAAGGGTGGGGAGAAGGCGCATTTCCCACGGTGTTGCTGGGGTTTTTTTTTTTGAAAGAAACGATGAGGAGAAGCTTGGTGGTGCGTGCGCATCCCCTCGGCAATCACCGTGTGCTGCGACAGATCCCCCCTTCTCCCACTCAGCGGCATCTACCGTAGGCGAAGACTGGGGATCGACAACTTGCCAAAAAATAGGAGGACGTGGCTGCCTCCATCGTCGTCCATGAGGACCCACCTGCCCGAGGCGCTTCATCTGACGCATGCCTGCCTCATTTACTGAGTCTACCATACCTACTATTGTTTACGTTTTGTGCCGTCCTGGATCCCCGTCGACTTCCACGACTTTCTCCGCTTTCTAGAAGACGCACGACACACACACACACACGCACACACACATGTACGTAACACGTTTGATCTCAACAACAAAGAAAGAAGGAAAAAGCATACTAATGCAAGTTGTTTTTCTCGTTGTGGTGCACCTCGTGGTCACGACGGCCCTGCTGGGGTACATGGCGGATGTTGTGATGCCCTTCTACGCCTATCGCAGCGACGACACGCCCACCTCCTCAAGACCGTTCACATCCACAACGACACCGATTGCGTGGTCCCAGCGTCCTCTATTTCTTGTCGCGGACGAAGGCCAACACGCAATGCAGCTGGCACAGCATCTGATTTACACGGATGCGACCACCGCGACGGCCCTCAACGCCTCGGTCGTGCTGCACAGCAGTGTCTTTCATCTTCTTCTCGCCGGCGTGACGTTTGTGATGTTGACACGCGTGGTGCCTGCCCCGTACGGCCGCCATGCGCAGCGGCTGCGCTTCCCCCTCACGCTGCCTTCACGTGTCAGTTGGATCTTGCAGGAGAGCCCGACGTTGATGAACGTTGTCTACTTCGTTGCGCTGGAGTTCCCCCGTGCGATGGGCCACGGCCCGTTAACACCCTTCCGCCACAGACGCAGCGCCGATGCAGCGCTCTCGTCCTCTGCGGCTGTTTCGGGGCAGACCCACCCCCACCTCTATGGCCACTGCTCCTCTTACTGGGATTGCGTCTGGACGGCCTGCACTCAGCAGCACCTCGCTCTGCTGCTCTTTGTAATCCACTACGTGCATCGAAGCTGGATTTACCCGCTGTCCATCCCCGCCAGCGCGCACCGCGTCCCGCTGCTCGTGACGTGGTCAGCGACGCTGTACTGTCTATTTAACGGGCGATTGCAGGTGCTGGCAAGTGCGAGTGCCGCCGCCGCCGCAGCAGCAGCGGCAGCAACGGAGAGCTCCGCTGGTGTACTTCGACCTCCCTCTACGCAGCTGCTGCGTTGCTGGCTTGCAAACAACTGCACGAGCCTCGCCACGTCGGCTGTGTCTCGCCAGCGGCTTGTGTGGGCGGCGGTGATGGCGGTGTACGTGGTGGCGTTGTTTGCCGGGTCCGCCCTCTTCTTTTACGGTCAGTGGATCAATGTGAAGGCTGATTACTACCTGGTCAGCCTGCGTGAGGGGAAGCGCCTGACGGGGGTGTCGGGGAGGGATGACAGCCATGCGCAGCAGGCGGACAAGGACACCAGCAACAACAGCAAGGGCGGCTACACGATCCCTGTTGGTGGGTGGTTCGATCAAGTCAGCTGTGCGAACTTTTTCGGGGAGTTGATGGAGTGGGCCGGCTACGTGTTCGTGATGGCGGCGACGACTGCAGGCGCAGACTGCGGGGAGGTCGCACAACTCGCCTCGGCCAGCTCTGGCACGTACGCCAACTCGTCGTTCTCGAGCAGTTTTGGAGCTTTACGTATTCTGTCGCTTCCTCCTCTTTCTTTTACGAGTTTCGTGCCCTCTTTGCCGCTCGCCGCGGTGCTGCAGATTTTTGTGACTCCCTACGCCTTAGCGGCGCTGAGCTTCTTTGTGTATGTGTGGTGCAACCTCGCCCCTCGAGCGGTGGAGCACCATCGGTGGTACCGCGACACCTTCGGCGTCGCGTACGCGGCGCTGCATCGCAGAGCGCTCATCCCGGGTGTCCTTTAAAGGAAAGTGCGCCGCGTCTCCCTTTTCCCCCATACCCCGGAGAAGAGAGCGCTGTCTGGCAACTGTCGAAACCGCATACAAAGACAACAACAACAACACGTGGTTTCTCTTACCGACTCATCGACCTACTTATACGCCATGTCGAGTGACCTCAAATAATAATAATAAAGAGCGGATCTTTTTTTCCTTTACTGGTGATGCCTCGCGCTTACCTGAGCTGCAGCCTGACTTCAACTTAGCTGAAGGCGCGTGGAGAAGAGTGATTGAAGATATGCGTTTCTTTTCTTTTCTTTATATAGAAATGGAAGTTCGCATGGAACTCTCGCCAACCTTCAAGAAGAAGCAGGCAGCGTTTTGATCTCTTCTTATCTGAAGGCGCTGCGATTTCCACCTGTCGTTTCTACATATGTTTTAAATACCCGTTTCCTTCTATCTTTTCCCATTGCACCTCTTTGTATGATTCGCTGACCTCGTACGTTTTCTCCAGCACTTGCTGGTACGTACTGTGACTGCTTCGTGCTCGACCTTCTCTGTTTGCTTCACGCGTGCTTGCTTTGTCGGTGTGCGTAATAGAACTCGTGCACCGTACAACACACACACACACACACACACGCACAGACAAGACAGCGAAACCACCGAGCGAGATCCAGCGCATACCGACATCAGCACAGCCAACGCCGTGCCCAAGCGTCAATTTCTGTGCACCGCTCTCACTACCGCTTCAGACCTTCCTGGTTTTCTATACCCACATAGCTCTGTCCGATACGGCACCGACTTAGAATTCTTGCTCTTCTTCTCAAATAGCTTTACTGGCGCTGCTTTTGTGTACCTTCCCGGCGGCTGCCAGCCGCACATTCGCGCCTGTAGTTATCTCTTCCTGTGGAGTCTTCCCCCCTTTTTTCCTTGTTGCTTTATCTTAACCATTCAGCCTCCGAGTGTGCGAACGAATCAACTGACCGGCCTTGACATTACGCCGCAGTTACGTTCTTTTCTCTTTTTTCGACTGTGCTTTCCGAGGCGGTGACGGTCGCACATACGCGGTACTGTACTATTAGCAAGCAACATCAGTAACTGTTTTATTTTGGAAGAAACTTAAAAAAAAAAGCGATGAGCAGCGCTACGGTGTCGCGGCCTCGCGTGTACGTGCGCATCCGCCCGCTCAACGAGCGAGAGCAGCGTGATGGCAAAGGCGCCCTCGCCTGTCTCGGCGACGCCCGCCAGCCCGATGTGCTTTTCTTAAAGAAGGCCGAAGGTGCGGAGGAGCTGCAGGTGCGCTTCGATCGTGTCTTCAACACCGCCTCCGACCAGAAGGACGTCTTCGACACCGTCGGCCCCGAGGTGCTGCGCACCTTGTTCAGCGGCTACAACGCTTCGATTTTCGCCTACGGTCAAACCGGTAGCGGTAAGACGCACACGATGGAGGGGAACAAGGCGGTCCCCGGTGCGGATGACGGCCAAGGTCTCATCCCCCGCCTCATTCGCGGCATCTTCGCCGCTTTCAAATCGAACCCGGACATCAGCGACGCCCTAGTGGAAGTGAGTCTCGTGCAGATCTACCAGGAAAAGATCCAAGACTTGCTGAACCACCGCAAGCAGCTGGAGATCCACATGGACCGCACCAGCCAGTACGTCGCCCGCGATGCAACGTGGACCACCGTGCGCGATATGGAGGAGTGCATGAAACTGTACAGCGAGGCCTCCCGCACGCGGGCGACGTCGGCGACGGAGATGAACTTGGTCTCGTCGCGCAGCCACATGATTCTCATGTTCCGCATGCAATGGGATGAGCCGACGCTGCCCGGCTCCCGCGCGCAGCTCAATATGATCGATCTCGCTGGCTCGGAGCGGCTCAACGAGTCCGGAGCGACGGGGGAGACGATGATGGAAGCGATCCACATCAACAAGTCGCTGAGCGCGCTGGGCAACGTCGTGGCGAAGCTCGTAGAGCACGCGAAGCAGCCGAACAAGCGCACGCACATCCCGTACAAGGACAGCAAGCTGACGTATTTGCTGCAGTCCAGCCTCGGCGGGTCAAACCTCGTGCACTTCATGCTGGCCGTCTCCGGCAGTGCCCTGTGGCGCAGCGAGACGACGTCGACGATTGAGTTCGGTAAACGGGCGCTGCAGCTCGTGCTGAAGCCGGTGCGTAACGCCATCGACTACACGCGGCTGGCGGAGATGGAGGCGATGATTGAGCGGATGCGGTCGCACATCGCGTCGCTCGAAGAGGAGCTGCAGAACAAGCGCAACTCCGAGGCCGCCGGCTTCCTGCAGCTGCGTCAGATCGCGCAAGACGGCGACACGGCGCAGCGCAAGCGACGCTCCGACAAGCAACTGAATCGCAAGCACCTCAAGCGACAGACGGAGCTGACCCGCATCATGGCGAACCTGCCGGAGACCTTCGACGACCTGACCTCGCACTGCATTCTCTTTCCCCAGTCGAAGGAGACCTTCCGCGAGCTGGGTGGGCTGGAGAAGCTGATTCACTTCGTGGAGAAGTCCGCCTCGAACTTTTACCGCGCCAACTCCGCGCAGACCATCGCGAGCGTCATCGATGACCCGGGCCGCGAGGCCTTCGCCCGTCTGGGTGGCTTAAACGCCCTCGCTGGCCTGCTCCGTGTGCAGGAGGAGCGCTGTAAGGAGGCGGCGTGTGTGGCGCTGGAGGCGGTCTGCCGGGGCTGCGTCACCAACAAGAACAGTCTGACCAACGAGGTGTACCAGGACCTGGCGGACCTCATCTACGGCTACTCGAACCAGCAGGTGCAGGAGGCGGCGTGTGCGGCGATTGCCTCGATCGTGGACGGTTACCAGAAGGCGACGCGGCGCTTCGAAAAGCTGGATGTGGTGCCGAAGCTACTCGAGACGATCCGCACCTGCCCGGCGGAGGTGGTGAACTTGACGAAGGCGGCCACGAACTGCGTTGGGCGACTGGCCCACGGCGATAAGGAGATGCAGCGGACGATCGCCGCGCTGGGTGGGGTGGATTTGCTGATTGACGTCCTCTTCAGCTCCTCGGGCGACCGCGACCACCAGGTGCCAATCCTCGCCTCGTACGCGCTGGTGAACCTGTGCTGCAGCTCCGCAGAGAACTTGAAGATGGCACGCGAGCACCCCCGCTACGACGAGGTGAAGTACCGCTTGCTGGAGGGTCTCGCGCGCGCCTTCGGCACGAACACCGCCCGCGAGGGCTTCGGCCGTGCCACCGCGCAGGAAACCGCAGGGCCCTTCCCTTACCACGGCGTCACCATCCAAGACGCGTGGACCTACGCCTCGTCCGGCGGCCGGCCCATCTTCTCGTCCTTCATGGACAACCCACAGTTCTACCTCTACGTCCACCAGGAAACGGACATCGCTTTTATTATACAGGACACCCTCTACGAGGTCCGCATGCGCAAGAAGCGCCGCAACAACTCCGTCTACATGGGCATTGCCATCTTCGAGGGCGACCCGGATCTGGCGAAGGTGGGGCTGAAGCAGCTCGACTTTCACGGTAAAATGATCGAGATCGGCCGCTACACTTCCAACTGCGAGAACGTGCTGCACTGCACCCTACCGGCGTCCGACACGCCCTACATGGTCGTCCCCTTCACAAGCCAGAAGGGCCGTCACACGAACTTCGCGCTGTCCGCCTTTGGCAACCACCCGATAGAACTGACGACAGTGCCGGAGCAGGTCGGGTGGATGCATACGGTGCTGCAGGGCCGATGGACGGAGTTCACGGGGCGTGGCGGGGAGGCCTTCGACTGGCGCTGCAACCCGCAGGTCCGTCTACGCGCCAAGGAAGCCTGTCGCGTCGTCTTTGTGCTGTCGTATCAGTCACTGGATGAGCAGCGCGCGAACTTGCTTCAAGAGGAAGAGGAGGAGGAGGGGCAGAACATCCGTCCTCGACTGCACGGCCGTCTCTTCAAGAACAGCTTCGCCGCCGAAAAGCGATACCTGAAGGCGATTGTGCCGCTGCCGCAGGGATCCACCTTTGTCGCGAGCAACACCTTTGCCAGCAACAGCTACATCACCACCTCCGCGAACTTGGAGAAAGAGGAGTCCTACGTGTACATCCCCTTCACGGAGGCGCCTTTCCAAGACACCTATCGCGTGTCCGTCTACTGCGACTCGGACGACGTCGAGATCCAACCGTTGGAGGGGCAGACCAACGAGTGGCTCTGCACGTCGCTGGCCGGCACCTGGCAGGGCAAGCCGATCTCCGTCAGGCTGGAGACGGCAGGGAAGATGGTGGCCGTCATGTACAGCCCAGGTGCCTTTGTCCGTCCTCGTGTGCTCAACGCGGCGCACAAGAAAATTGGCGGGATCGACTCCTACTGGAATGCGGAGGCGGCCGTGGAGCACGACAGCAAAGGCACTACGACAGTGCAGGTGGAGGCGATGATGCGGGCGGAGGTCGGGGCCGACGGCGCGGTCCTCGCACGCTCGCCAACACGCGGTGGTGCGGCAGCGACGGCAACGACGTCGCCACGGCCGCAGCAAGTGCCGGCGAAGAACATCAAGTTCGATCTTTTTCTTTTCACAAGCGAAAGGTGCACTCTGGCAGACGTTGGCTTTGACGCGGCACCGAGTGCGTGGCCGTGCCCAACCCAGTCCACCTCGCGAGCGCTGCTCGCCTACGCGATGATCGCCGAGGACGTGGTGGGCGGTGCGGCCGGCGATGTCGACGACGACGACGTGAGCGACGACCTGGTGGCCAGCTCCGCCTCGGAGGACGACCTCGGCAGCGGCGCCAACGGTGGTCGCGAGGCCGACTTGCTCAAAACGCTGGAGGCGCAGGAGGAGAAGAATCGACAGCTCGAGGAGCAGCTGGCCGCGCAGACGCAGGAGCTGGAGGAGCTGCGACGGACCAAAGTGGCCCCCGCAAAGCCACTCACTGCTGGCGCGGCGGCGACGGCTGCCAGCCGGAATGCGAAGAAGGGAAAAGCGACAGGTTCGCGGACATCGCTGGACAGCTACACGGCCTTCTCCGAAGGTGGCACCGCGCAGAAAAATACCAATAACAGCGGCGGTGGGGCGGAGGGGCAGGGCGGCGCGAGTGCTCTTCTGCCCCCCGTGAGGGGCAACTCCCAGCGACCCGCGTCGACCGAGCGGCGAAGGAATTCTGCACGTCCACCGGTGGCGGTGACCGACAAGAAAGCGATCACTGCCGCCACCGCCGCGAGCCCCACCTCCAACAGCGGATGGAAGCGTGCGGCCTCGCCGGGTGGTCGGCGCTCCTCCTCCAGCGCCGCTAAGTCCCCAACGAAGAGGGTGAGTGGCGCCTCTCCGACGACGAAAGCCCCGTCTGCACAGACAAGGGAGTCGATCGAGTACACGCTGTCGAAGCTGAACGCCATGAGCAAGCGTGTGGCCGCCTCGAAGGGCGAGGGGGGCTGGAAGGACACGCAGAAGGACATCGAGGAAATCCAGCAGAGACTGTTCAAGGCGCTGGAATCGCTGCCGTAGTGCGATGTATTGTATCACGTACTCTTCAGCGACGACGAGTCGCGTACGTACGTTCTTTTTTTAAAAATATCTTGTAACTCTTTGTATGTGTTTCATTGTTCGTTGGTTGCGCACGACAACTTATGTAGAGTACGTTCGCGATAATGCAGGCGTGGTGCAACGGTAGAAAGCCTCTTCTTCTTCTTTTTGCTTTGTGCGGGTTTCACTCGACAGTACTAGAGAGTCAACAAGACAGCACCCAACGAAGGGGGACTTCGTCGCGGGAAGATATTGTTTTTCCGTTTGCTCGTTTCATGCGAGAAGAGGCACCGTGAACGACACCAACATGGTCCTGCGTTTTTTTTAAAAAGCTTCACACGAAAGGGGAAATGGGAATCGAGCGAGGATTTTCTCTTCGCAGCAGTGCCGCGGATCGTGTTTTGGATCTGCCTGTGCTCATCCCTCAAACACACGCGTGCTATGAACCTCTCCTCTTCCCCCCCTCCCCTCCCCCGCCTTCGCCTCTGCCCTGCGACGGTATTCTAACTGCCCAGAAGGGTGCGTCTTTGTCTCTCCCTCCCCCTGTCCCCTACACAGCTCATAAAAAACAGCTTAGTAGACTAGTTAGCGGATAAAAGGTGAGAAGGGGGCGTCGTCTGTCAGCACTTCCGTGGACGGTCCCAAGTAGTGGAACAGCACGTCGAGCTCTATCGTGTGGCGCGCATCCGTGCGCGTTCTTTTTTGTTGTTCTCTCTCTTTACTGAGATCACTTTTTAGGTAGAAGTAGCGATACCGTTATTATCATTATCATTATCATTATTACCTCCTCTGCTTAGCTGCGCCTTCATTAGGGCGATTGAGATTGCAAGGAATACCAAGCGTCACATTGCACGACACGTTCGCTGACCTTTATTCGCTTGACCATCTCTTTTCCCCCTTCTCTTCCCACGGAGCCACGAAAGATGCTCCGCTTAGTTCACCGGGCTGCCCCGCCGGCCGCGACGGCGATCTACTCGTCGTCGTCGCTGTCATCCTCGGTTGGCGCCTTGCAGACGGCGCAGCGCACCAAGTACATCCGCCAGCCCAGCGCGCAGTGGGACCCGATTCACGAGGACATCAACGCGCACGTGAAGAAGCGCATCCCCGGTGAGACGCGCGTGGACCGCGTGAAGCGCTTTGCGCGTGAGTGGCGTAACGTGGAGTTGGAGCTGGGCGTGTACAAGGACTCGCGTGGTCGCGAGATCAAGTACCGCAAGACATTTGTGTACCGCTACACCTACCCGAACGCCTTCGACGAGTTCTGGTGGCCGTGCAAGTAAACGCGGGGGGAAATAGAGTGGTGGGAGGTGCGTATACAGCAAACGAGGAGAAGCGGAAGCGTGCATACGGGCTTCTTACCATTTCATCTCTTGTAGTTTCGTATATATATATATTCTTATGATGACTTTACCTTGCATATGGCACAACCCTGCCTCCCACTTCTCTTCTCTATGCGGGTTTTTCGTCGTAGTAGCTTGCGGATCTCAAATAAATAAATAAATATGGTAGTCGATAAAGAGAAGGAAAAGGCAGCTGCAATCGCTTGCAACTAACGTCCGTAGTGGCCACAGATTCATTTCCCTTCTGTAACTGCATTTTGCAAAAAAAAAAAATGAAACGGAAGAGTTGATAAAAGGATATTGAAAGCTGGCGGGGGTGGGGGAAAGAGCGTCAAGACCTCCTTTCCCCGCTCCCTTCTCTCCCTTCACGTGGTGGACGACGCTACATGACAAACATCAAAGGCCTATGGCTCTAGCTTTTTACCCTCACCTGTTCTTCGCTTCGCTGTTGCTTTAACCCCCTTTTTTCTTTGTTTTCCTTCTTCTGTTTTTTTAAAAAACTATTTCTTGAGTGCGCAGCCTCCGTTTCCTTCTGCGTTGCTTCGGACGTGTGGGCCGTGCAGAGCGTCAGAGTTTGCCGTACTGCGCCGTTATTGGCGCGCATTGCTCGTACGCAGAAGCAAATACACTTCACTAAATCTTAGTAAACATTCACGTTTAGCCACAAACGTCGTTTCGGCCGGTGGGCACTTCACTTTGAAAGTGGCACGAACTCCGTTTTCTAGCTTTTACCTCTGTGATAGGTGGTCGGTGTCACGATGCGGCGCACTCATCGCCTCCTCTTCGACTCCTTCAAGGCCGCTCGTGGGGAGCTGGAGCCCCTCTTCTCCACCATGAAGTCGGAGGAGCACATGCGCAAGGAGGTGCGGCAGTACATCATACCCGCCCTCTCGCACCGCCGCCCTCGCTACCTCAACGAGCGGCTTGGGCGTGCACAGCAGCGCAGCCTCTTTCGCACCAACGTCTCGCTCGTGCTGCAGGAGGCACGACGGCGCGCCAACTACCGCGTGGCGGCGGCCGCGCTGGACGTGGCGCTGACGGAGGTGCACCTCGCGCATCTTGCGCAGGAGCTCGACCCCACCTGGGTGAAGGATGCGGTGTCGTCGTGCCAAGATGTGGCGGAGCTGCGAATGATGGAGGGGGTCCTGCGCAAACATGAGCAGCAGCTCCTCGCGAGCGGGACGGCAGCCGGTACGGAGGGGATGTTGTTGGCGGCTGCGTTTGGCCGCTCTGCATCCGCTGCGACGGAGCGTGGGCGCCGCCTCGGCGATGACGATACCACGGAGGCGATGGAGAGCGCAGACGACTGTGTAGAAGCAGCGAGTACTACGGCGTCTTCTGCGCTGACCAGCTCACTGAATAAAGCCGACCGTAGCAGTCTTGTGGGAGTCGCCGGTGGAGATGGTGTGACGGCTTCGTCGTCTGCTGCCGAGGCGATGCGTCCAATGAGTGACGAATTGCGTGTTGCCACGGCGCTCACGCAGCCGCCCTCCGCCAGTGATCTTGCCGTACGTGGCGGCAGCGGCATTGACGCGTCGCTTTGGTCGTCCCCAGAGGCCCGAGCGGCTGCCGGCCTGCGACGGCTGCAGCGGCAACACCGCGACATCACGGCCAGCCCAAACGTGTCCTTTACACGCTACTTTCTTCATCAAGGTTTGGTGCGCAATGAGGCCGAGTTGATGGCGCTCTATCAGGCAATGCGTTCACGTCCGTACGACATCGCATTCCGCGTGGTTGGAGGCGGCGGGACATCGCCGAGCTGCTCCCCCTACGCGGGTGCCGTGCATGATTTACTGCGTCGTCGGCGGGGCATTCACCGCGTCCCTTGGCTGCCGCCCTCCATGGGCGCCTACACGCTCGACACGCATGATAGCGTCCCACACGACGCGGTCTTGTCGAACCGCCACCTCCTGCGCACTCTCGCCCGCGAACGTCTAGTGGTCTACCAGAGTCTGTCCAGCATGTTGCCGGTGCTCTTGCTTGACCCGCAGCCGGGCGAGGCGGTGCTGGACCTGTGCGCGTCGCCGGGAAACAAGACGGGGCTTATTTTGGATGCCATGCACGGCGCCGCCACCGCCGCCACAGCATCGACATCGCCCTCCTCGCGTGAAGTCCCCACTTCTGTGTTGAGTGGGTGCGTCGTGGCGAACGAGGCGCAGGCGTCGCGCCTTCGCGATTTGCAGGACCGGCTTCGCGATGTCTCGCCCGAAGTGGCCGTCACACGTGGCCGTGGTCAGGCCTTCGGTTCCCCCGCCTTCTCCCCATCCACAGCGCCAACAGCGACGTCACCGAATAAGATGCGAGGTGGCAGCACGTCGAAGGGGCAGCTGTTCTCTGCGATGACCCCCGCCGACGAGTTTCCAGGTCTGAATGAGGAGGACCTGTATGACGGTGTGCTGGTGGATGCGCCGTGCTCCGGCGAGGGCCGCATGGGCCGTGCCGCGCTGTCGTGGCGGCTGTGGCACCCCGGCCGCGGTCTCGAGTTCTTCCCGCTGCAGTGCGCACTGCTACAACGGGCGGTGCAACTCTGCAAAGCCGGCGGCCGCGTCGTGTACGCCACCTGCACCCTCAATCCGATGGAGAACGAGGCGGTGGTGGCGGCGGTGCTGCGTGCGTGCGGTGGTGCGGTGGAGCTCGTGCCGCCTCCGACCGGGCTTTTTGCCTCCGCTTCTGCCTCCATTCGCAGCACTGCTGGAAGCGGTGAGGATAACGGCCATGAGGTGCCCGTGCTGCGACTGACTCCCGGGCTGCGCAGGTGGGATGTCCCGTCGAGCGCCGGCGGCTTTCTTCGCACCGCCGCAGACGCGTACGCGCAGGGCGAGAGCCGACACCGTCTGCTGCCGGAGATGTTCGCCGTGGAGGGACCGCATGGAGAAGGCGAGGGCACAGAGGAAGGAAGGGAGATCGGCGCTGCCCTGCACCGCTGCTGTAGGCGTGTGATGCCCCACCTGAACGGCAACGCTGACGGCTTCTTTGTGGCCGTGATACGCAAGAAGGTCAGCCTACGACGACCTGCCCTGAGTGCCTTCGACCAGGAAAGTGCAGCAAGGGGTGCCCTCTTTGACCTGTCGCGTGTCGCCGCCGCCTCCCCGCTTGCCGTGTCGATGGCGGGCGGAAGCAACTTGCTGAACGATCGCGGCCTCGTGCGACTGCCGGCCACCAATCAAATTGTGCAACGGCACATCGGCTGCTTCTTTGCCCAGCATTCTCCAGCTGCTGTATCCGCATCACAGCTGCAGCAGCCACAAGAGCAGCGAGGTTGTGTGAGTGTGCAGCACTTTCTGGACCGGCATGGGTGGACAGCGATGTGGTGCGAAGGCGAAGGGCTGCGACTGCTGTCCACGTGTGCGGTGCAGCTCCTACACCGCCACGCCACCGCTGCCAGCACTGGCCGAGGTGGGCCGTCGCCGTCCAGTGTGACGTCAACGGAGCTGCTTGACGCGGGCGTCATCGTCGTCAACGCGCGGGGCGAACTGACCGAGCGCGGTGCTGCCCTTCTGCGCCGCAGCGCCACCAGCCGAGTCGTGACGCTGCCGCTGCCCTACGCGCAGCTGCTCCTGGCAAATCAAACGTTGGACGTTGGTGGGTCTTGGGGACTCTTGCCCGGCGTGGTCCAGGAGGCGGAGCTCGCCTTGAACCCGCATCGTGGCTTGCTCACCTCTACAGGGAGTCGTGCAACACGAGCGGGAGGAGGGGCGGCGGCACCGTCGTCCTCTCCGCAGTGGTGTCTGAACGTGCTGGCGGCGCTTCGCGATGGGGCAGCAGGGAATGCGATGGTGTGCGTTGATGTCGCCCCGTCGTCGCAGTCAGACGCTTCTCCTGCCGCTACAGACGGAGGAAGGAATCCACGGAGTTCCCCCTTCTGGGCGGCTGCGCTGTCGCAGTGGTCGTGGCCGGTCCGTGTGGAGGTACTTCGACCCTGGTCGGGTGTTGAGGAGAGTATTACTTCTGGTCTGGTGCGGCTGCACCTCACGCTGTCCCCGGCATCACGTCATCGCACGTTGGCGTTGATCGGTCGCCTGCAGGGACATGCACATCGGCTGCGCGGTACATCGGAGCAGCAGCAGAAGCAACAGGCAAGTGCCACCTCCGACCCATCGCTGGTAATGAGTGAGCAGGATTTGTACGGAGTCCCGACGCAGGCGAGCCGTCAGCACCGACAGCTGCTTCAAGGTGCCAGAGGACGAGGAGGCGGGGTTTGCTTGCCCGACTTGGATGCGGCGCGTGCAGGCAACGAGACGTCGGCTGCATCTCCCGCTCCCCCTGACCCTTCCGAAACTGTCTTTGAGCTGTAGGGTCGCCGTGACAGACGAAAAGGGCTCGGAAGGAGAGTTGCGGAATGAAGGAGGGAAAGGAGGTGTAGCGGGGAAGCAGCGTGAGCGCACGTGCATCGGTTGTGCGTACCTGGAGCTCTGGAGGAGCACTTGTTCCATGGCGTCTTCACAAGCCTGAAAGTAATCTAAATATATAAACATGTATATATGAAGAGCTATGAGGAGCTATTAACACGACACACTTACGCGGTGAGTCGCAAGCTGACAGCAAACGGCTGCTTTCCCGAGCAAAGCACGCAAACGTCGTGGAGACTGTGCGTGCAAATCACGTTTGAGGAAACCGGCGGAAAAACAAAAAGAAGAGAAGAAGATGCTGCAGCTTTGAGAATGCCTACACAGGCCTGTCGGACCTGCTTGAGCGCTGCTCTCCATGACTCAACGCATCTTTCCTTCCAACCTCACACCTCCTTCTTCCCGGTGCCTTTTCCCTTTCTATCTCGCCATCGTGATGCCCTCCGCCACGCACACACACGCACACACACCCACCCATTAGAGCTGTCGTCCCAGCTTCGCCTCGGACCACGTATTGCTATCTGCCGCTCAGACCTCCCATTTTCCCGTTGTACGGTACAGTGAAGCGTACCAACGTACGCGCCATACGAGGTTGTATGCAACCGCCTTTATTGCCGTATATATTTTTTCCTTTCATCTTCAGAGATTCCTTCTCGATTTTTCGTTTATAATAAAGGAAGCGACGTGAGTCAAACCGAAGTTCACGATGAATGAGATCCCCTCTGCCGGCGAGACATTCCGCGGCGATGACGGCACCGTCTCGACCATTCTCCCCTCGAACTACGGGCAGGATTACGAGGCCTCCGAGGGCGAGTTAGAGGAGTACGCGGAGTTCATCGGCATCGACCCGGCCAAGGAACCGGAGCTGATGTGGATTGCGCGAGAGGGACTGCGAGCTCCGCTGCCGGAGGGGTGGCGCGCGTGCCAGACTGACGACAACGAAGTCTACTACTTCAACTTCCAAACCGGGGACAGCCTGTGGGACCACCCGATGGATGAGCACTACAAGGAAAAGGTCACGACCGAGCGCGCGAAGCACCGCGGCGGCGGCGGCAAAGGCGGCAGCGCGCTCGGCGCAGCGGCGGCCGCCATCGCCGGTCCGGCCAGCATACGCACCGGCTCGACGAAAGCGCTGACGGACTCGCTGTTTCTAAAGCCAGCCAGCAGCACCGGCGGGCCGCTCTCCATCACGACGACGCCCTCCGTGTCCATCAGCGATGGTGCCAGCGCACCGCTTCCGGCGCCGGATGTGTCCGACATTTTGAGCTTCGCGGCTGCCGCGGCGGTGGCCTCTCCGCTGGGCCCGGGCAGCGCGCGCGGTACGCCCGGTCCATTCAAGTTAAAGGAAGCGGAGGCGGCGCTGCGCAGGCGGCTGGTGGAGCAAAACGAGACTCAGCTGCGCGCCCTCCGCATCGACTACGGCAAGAAAGAAGACGCCGAGCGGCAGCGGCTGGAGGAGGCGAAGAGTGCACTGCAAAAAGAGCTCGACGCTGCCTGGGCACGCGTCGAAACGAGCGCCACCGGCGAAGGCACGTCCACCGTCAGCAATATTAGCAGTGGTGATGCCGCCAGCAGCGCCACACAGCGCCGCCTGAAGACCGCGCGGGAGGTGAAGCAAATCGAAGAGAGTTGGAAGTCACGCCTGCAGGACGTCAGCATCCGCGTGAAGGAGCTGAAACAGAAGGTGGACACCCAACAGCAGACGCTGCAGAAGAGCATCTATCAGCCGCCGGAAGAGCTAAGGAAGTCGTTAGACGCGCGAAATGCCGCCGAACTCGCGCAGCTGCGGGAGGCTGCTCGGAAGCAGAACGACGTGGCGCTGCAGCGAGTAAAGAGCGAGCACGCCGCCGAGCAGGCGAAGGCGGCCGCAGTAGAAGCCGAGAAGGTGGCGGCGGCGGCGAAGCTGGCCGAAAGCACCAGTGCGCAAAAGATGCAGGAGCGCAAGGCGCAGAATGCAGCCATGCTCGCCGCCCTGCAGGCCGCCGTGGGGGCGAAGCGCGCGGAGCTCACAGCGAACACGAACTCGGCCACCATCGCAAAGGCGAGCGCAGCACCGCTGAAAGGAGGGCTCTCTGCGCAGGATAGGGCCGCCATCATCGCCGCACAGGCAGCGGCCGATGCTGAAATTGCGCAGGCGAAGAAGGCGAACGAGCTCGCTCTCACGCAACTTCGAGAGGAGTACGAAGGAAGGAGGAGGGAGAGGGAGGCCGTCCAGCACCCCACACCGAGCGTGTCTCGCCCGTCGTCGGCGCTGCAGACCCCCACGCACGGCCTCTCACGCGCAGCGAGCAATAACAGCTTCAGTGCCAACGTCGTGTCCCCGGACGAGCAGGCAAAGCTGGACGAGGAGGATCAGAAGTTGAGAGAGGAGGTGGAGAGGGCGGCCCGCATTTACGCGGAGGAAACGGAGTTGATGGTGGCGAACAAGGAGGCGGGTCGGCATCTCACTGCGGCTCCGCTGCCGGCGGCGGCGGCGGGTGTGTCGACGGAGGCGGTGGCCGCACTGGCGCGTACCGCCGCCCAAAACCAACGTGCCCGCGACGCCGAAAACGCGCGGCACTCCATGGCCATAAAGCAGCTGGAGGCGAAACACGAGCAGGCCGTGCGGGTGCTCAAGTCACAGCAGGACAAGGACGTGGCCGCTGCATCCGCCACCGCAGCGGCAGGCAGCAGCGCCGCTGCCGCTTTCAACGCGCGTCAACACCCGTCCTTTACGGCGCAGCTCAACGCGCGCAAGCGCAGCTGGGTGCGTGACCACCCGGCACCGTCCATGGAGATGCCCACCCTGGCCGCCATTCCAACTCTTCCTGCGGCGACCATGAGCTCGTCCATGCCCGCGGCGACCATGCCAGACTCTGACGAGCAGGCGAAGATCATCAAGGTGCGCCTGGCGCAGATCCACGACGAACTGCAGCCCAAGTTTGATCGCGCGATGCAGGCGTTGCAGCGGACAAAGGAGAGCGAAATCGCAGCGTGGCAGACGAACTACCGAGCGGCTCGGTTGGCAGCGGTGCAGGCGGCGTTGGCGTCTTTACAAAAGGAAAAGGATGCGGAGGTGGAGGCTGCGAAACGCAGCGCAGAAGAACACGCAGAGGCTACTACTGCAAACGCAGTCCAACTCGCTGCTGAGACAGCTGCGGCTGCTGCTGCTGCGGCAGCCCGGAAAGAGGCGGAAGAAGTCGCCACGGCAGCGGCAAACGCGAAGCTGCGCACGCTGGAGGATAACGTACGCGCGTTGGAGACGAAGGCCGCCGGCGAAGAAGAGGAATTGAGGGCGTCATGCGCAGCCGTAGCGAAGGAAATCGCCCAGCTGGAGGCGACACTGCTGAGACTGACGAAGGAAGTGGAGGCGGAGGAGAAGCGGCGCGAGGAACAACAGACCAAGTCTGCCGCTGCCGCTGCGGAGACCGACGCGCTGCTGACGAGGCGAAGCGAAGCGACGGCGGCAGAACCCGCCGTGCCGTCGTCTACGGCGTTAGTTGTGAAAGACGCCGACGCTGAGGAGGAGGAGAACGCGCTGCGAGCACGCTGGACGGGTCTCTTGAAGAGCCTCCGCGCGGCCGCTCAGCAGGAAATGGCCAACTACGAACGAGTGCTGGCTGAGAGTGCGAAAGCCACGAACCAGGTCGCCAACGCAGACGCGGTGGGTGGTGCGGGCTCCGTTGCAGGAGACAGAGCTGGCCAACAACGAGATGACGGGCTGCAGGGTCTTGGGACGGGGTCTTTGCCCCCCACTGCGCCCGTTATCAGCAGTGGCGGCGGCGCCTCCGGTCCATCGACTGCCGCCACGCTCGGTGCCGGTCCCCCTTATCAGTCCTCGTTGATGCTCGGCAGCGCCGCATCGTCACTTGGGTTTGCAACCCCGCTGCAACGACCGCCGCTGTCGTGCAGTTCGGACTACCGGAGCTGTCGCACCGAGAGCGGTGAGCTGAACCCAAATGTTCGTCTTTTCGCTCCGACACAGCAACCATTGCCACCGCCCGCGTGGACGAACTCCAGTGGCGTTGGTTCCTCGGATGCTGGATTCATGCCCTCTGCCGCCAATGGCGGGCGCTGTGCGGACCCAACCGCGAACTGGCCGCGCGGTGCTGGCTCAGTGGGCGGCAACGATGCCCGCGCCACACTTCCCGCTCCGTACTACGCTGGCAGCGGCGTCGATGAGAGCAGCCGCCTTCTCTCCCTGCCGCCGCGTCAGGCCATGCCGGATGCTGCTGCTGCGCTGTCAGGGCAGCGATCAACCCAGGGCTGGAACGCAGAGCATCGTGCAAGCGGCGTGGAGGGGGACGATGGTGATGACCAGGCTGGGCGGCTGGCCGCGCTTCAGCAAGCAGCCAGAGAGCGCCGGCATGCGCTGCAGGTGCAACGGCGTGAAATTGAGCTTCTACGCGAGGAGTGGAAGGCGGACATGCAGTCTTGCAAGCAGCGAGACGACAGGGCGCAGGCACGGAAGCTGCGCGCGGTAAAGGAGGTGCTGGAGGAGCGCGCACGCAGACTCAACGAGGAGGTGATGGAGTTGAAGGCGGTGCAGCACGAGGTGCAGAAGGAGGTGCGCCGCTACTCGGACTGGGCTCAGCAGCAGCGCGTAGGTAGCGAAACCACAGCGAACGGGACCGCCAACGCGACGACAACGTATCATCCAAGCAGTCCTGAAAACGAGAGAAATCAGAGCGCGTACGGTGGCCGTGCGGCGGCGGATGTGGTGGGGCTTCTCGAGAGCATTGTGGATCGGACGGAGCGGCTGGAAAAGCTGCTGCTGCGAAGCGTACGCTCGACCAGCGACCACTCTCCGTCACCGGGCCGCGACACTGCTCGATGCTGAAATTGCAAAGGAAGAAAAATGGCTAGTACCCACCAAAAAACAACAGCAACAACAAACAAACAAATCAACATCCACTTGAGGAAGGAGAGTTGAAGCTTTTTTCTTCTTCTTCTACTCATCAGTGCAGAAGGCGTTTGTAGCAACGTGTAATTCGGCAGCATTTGATTTCCACGCGGCTGCATACAAAGCAGAATTCTTCAAAGCGGCTCTGATGAAGCGGCAGACGTTCGCCGGGGAAAAAGTGCCTGACCCAGTTTTTCACCTCGCTGCTTGCTTTTTTTGCATTCCCACGACGACGACGACGATGATGATGATGATGATGATGATGATGATGATGATGATGATGATGATGATGATGATGATGATGATGATGATGATGACTACTACGATCTGCATCTTCAGCTCCTCTTCACAACGCACGCGACTCTTTCTCCTTCGATACTCCCTTTACCAAACCAACAACAAAAAGAGAATCGTTCTTGCTCTCCCCACGGCTGCTCCAGAAACCAGCCGACACAGTGTACGGCCGCGGTATCGAAAAACCAGAAGGTTGAAGGAGGATTGCTGTGGACGCCCACTTCACCCCCCTCACCCCCCTTCTCCTCCCTAACGTGGACTTTCCCGTCAATTTTTGATTCTCTCCCCCTCCTACCATAACAGCAGCCGCAACAGCTTCGCTGAAGCAAAGAAAGGACACCCCCGTTGGGTTCCAGGTGGCACAGGAGCTGCACGTTGATTGAGCTGTGCGGTTTGACGAACTCAAAAGCGGAAAGGAAAGCCGCGATACTTAAAAAAAGAACAGTAATAATTGACGAGAGGAGAGAAAGATGGGCGTTCCGAAGTTTGCGGCGTGGCTGACGAAGAAGTACCCCGCCATGGTCGTCGACCGCTGCCCCGCAGACGTGCACGGGCTCTACATCGACCTCAACGGACTCATCCACCCTTGCTGCCACGATGAGCACGACGCCACCGTGGCCCTCCGCACCGAGGTGGAAAAGATGCGCAGCGTCTGCCTCGCCATTGAGACACTCGTCGTCACCGTCAAACCGCAACGGGTGCTGTACATCGCGATTGACGGCGTGGCGCCACGCGCGAAGATGAACCAGCAGCGGGCGCGGCGGTACATGAGCGCTGCGACGCCGCTGACCAACACCGAGAAGCCCATTTGCAGCAGCGGCGGACACGAGATCAGCGCGGCGGTGGTGGCCGCGACGGAGGCGGAGTTCACTGCTGCGGAGAGGACGGGGGCGGAGAAGGAGTTGGAGGATGTCAGGCAGGCGTTACTGGGGGACGTGCTCTACGGTGGAGACGGCGATCCAACAGCACCGTCGGCTGCCGCGGATTGTGCGTTCTCACCAGTTGCACCTCTGCAAGAGGCCACCGCGCAGCCAGAGATCGGTGTCCCCTTTGCTGCGGTTGGGGCTGCGGAGGACTACGACGAGCGCTTCGACAGCAACTGCATCTCGCCCGGTACCGCTTTCATGGACAAGGTTGCCGCGACGGTGCGCGACTTTGTGAAGCGCAAGCTGATGACTGCGGAGACGAAGGCCGATAGCGGTGACGTCACGGAGGGTTGCGGCGATGACCCGCTCACCTGGGCGTCTGGCACTTCTACCGCAACCACCGCAGCGACAGCAGCGCCGTCTGCGCCGTCCCCGTGGGCGCAGCTGACGGTTGTGTTTTCTGATTCAAACACGGCAGGCGAGGGCGAGCACAAATTCGTTGACTTCCTCCGCACGCAGTCCGCCTTCCCGGGGTTTAACGGCAGTGGCTGTCACGTCATCGCCGGCCTCGACGCGGACTTAATCTTCCTTTCCTTGTCGCTGCACATACCGCGTGTGGTGATCCTGCGCGATCACGATCGCTCCAGCTATGACAGGGCGTTGCTGCCCGTCGCTGCGGGAGGGACATTGATGCCCGCCAAGACGGCCGCAAAGGGGCGAGCCGCGGGTGGAGTTCCAGAGAGTGATTCGACCTCGTCGATCGGCTCTGCTGCTGCTGCTGCGGCAGCGGTGGGAACACCGGCGGCTGAAGTCGACGAGGCGTCTTCAACGCCGCAGCCGAGTGAGGCGGTGGTCGCCACTCCGAGCTCTCGCAGGGAGGAGGGAGACGACGATGGTGCTGTGAGGACGGCGACGATGTCTACCGCAGAGGACGTGACCGATGCGGAAAAGGAGGGCACCGTCGCAAGCCCAACGCCGGACTCGCCGCCGGCCTCTCCCGTGCCGCCACCGCACATCGCCAGCGTGGTGGCCGACGTCTGCACGTCGTACGAGTACTACGACATCGACGTGGTCGGCGCGTCGATCGTCTCGGAGGTGTATCAGCTGTGCCTAGAGAAGGGGATGGAGATGCGTGGGAACCCGCTGGAGAACTCAGCGAATTGTGTGGCGGCGAATGGATTTGCCTTTTATCGCAGCGGCGACAGCGAGCGGTCGGAAGCCGCTGCAGTCGCCACCGCCCCAGCCGCAGCACCGACGCCGACGACACAGAAGAGGGCGCCTTCGAATAAGAGGAAGCCGAGTAAATCGACGGCGCCGGCGCCGGCGTCTTCGCCTCACTCCACCTCGCCACGTTCTTTTCACCCCTGCACCTCCACCAGCAACTCCAAAATTATCGACGACTTCATCGTGCTGGGGATGCTGCTGGGCAACGATTTCTTACCGCACTCGCCGAGTGTGTACTGCGGGGAAAGTGCGATGGACACGCTGATGGATGTGTACGTCAGCGCGGTGCTGCCCTACGGCTACCTGACGGGCGGTCATTACGAGATTCAGCTGCTGCAGCTGGAGCGCCTGCTTCGCGCGTACGCGACGGTGGAGGCGGTGCGCTTCCGCCAGCACGCCATTCAGTCCGGCCTGATGACCCCGCAGGAGGCCGCCACCTCGGCGGTGTACTCGGAGGCGGATCGCCGCTGCTGGCGAGACCCTTACATCCGGACGACCTCCCTGACGAACGAGGCCGGGGTGCAAGCGGCGTGCCGCGCCTACGTGGAGGGTCTCCGCTTTGTCTGGCGGTACTACAGCTCCATCTCGCTGCAGGTGAGCTGGTCTTGGTACTACCCCTTCCACCACGCCCCACTCGCGTTGGATGTGGCGAACTTTCTACGTCAGCAGGGCCCCAACGTGCAGGCGGTGCTCGCAGCCCCGAAGCTGGAGCGCCTACCGCCGCCGCCGTTTTGCCAGCTGCTGTGCATTCTTCCCCCGCCCAGTCGCACGTTGGTGCCGGCGGCCCTGCGAGCTTCCATGGTGCAGCCGCCTGCGGAGCTGGCCGACACATTCCCCACGACGTGGACGGTGGACTTCACGGGCGCCTACGGGAAAGAGCACTTAGCGGCGGTGCTGCTGCCTTTTGCGAATTTGCCAGACCTGCAGGCGCTCGTGCAGACGCACGCGGGCTCCTACACGGCGGAGGAACGGGCCCGCAACACGCTACGGTCAACTCACATTGTATTCGAGGGCCGCTCCGATGCAGACCCGATAGCAGCGGAGGAAGCAACAGCAGCAGCAGCGGACGAGGAGCACACAACAGAGGCCCCGAAGGAAGGATCAGGGAGGGGAAAGCCAAAACGCGGGTCAGCCGTGACCAAGGCGCGAGGGTTTCGCATTCAAGGCGACGGCCTTCGGCCCCTCGCCGCAGCGGAAGTTCCCCCTGAACTGCAGGGCTGCTCGTTGATTGTGTGCTCCTCCTTGGCGGACGTCGCCCCACCGCCGTCTCGCCCACGCACCTACTCCTACACGGTGCTCATACCGAACCTCACCCTCCTCCCGGACGGCACCCGTATGCCTGCGGAGCGGCGACCGCAGAGTCGCTACGGCAACCGCCGTCGTCACGGCGGCAGAGGAAAGGACGAGAAGAGCACGCAAGGTGCAACGTTGGCTGCTGCGTCTTCTTCCGCCTCTTCGGCTGCCGCCACCGCAAACGCACACGCGCGGCAGCCGCCCATGCTTTTCGGCGAGTTCATCATTTCACTGGCGGTGGTCGGCCTGCTGAGTGCGATCGTCCTCGTGCGGCGCAGCTCCTCATTTCTAGGCGGTCTCCAACTGGTGGTGCAGATGTGCGCCGTTGCGGTCACCGTGCTTGGGGTGGCGTTTGCGCTGGGCCTGGCGGTGGCGGGCAACGGACGCGCGGCCGGCAGCGGGATGCACCGCCACAACATCTTTACTGCCTTTGCGGACTGGCAATGTGCGTCGTGTCTCTCGCTGAACTTCTCACGCAACCGGCGGTGCTTCATCTGTCGCGCGCCTTTTGATCCACACCGATGCGCGGCGCTGTTGAGCGGGCGCAACCCACCGGAGGTGCCGTTGATGGACCCAGATCACACGGCCTACTCCGCCTCCTACGGTATTACGCCGTTGTAAGGCGCCGCAGAGCTCAAGGCGATGCATGCGCGAGAAAGAAGGAGAGAGGTGGTGACGAGAGGCGAAGGGAGACGAGTGCCGCCTAGTTAGGTCGTTTGTTGGTGCTGTTGCTTGGACGCCCTCGCCTTGATGATGGGCCGTTTATCCCCCCTCCTCTTCCCCTCTCTCAAAGCGGTCGAACACGACGGCTGCGGAGGCGCATGCATAATTCCCTGCTGAGACAAACACCGACTTCAAAATTGAGCCTCTTGGCGACAAGAGCGCTGCCCAAAATGGAAAAGGAGAGAAGAAAATTGTTAGCGTCACGCGCTGTTTGTTTGCTTGTGAGGTCCACAACGCGCAGTCGCGAGGGCAGAAAGGAAACGGAAGAGTACCGTCAACGTCGTCGCATATTCCTGCTCGTACAACACGCAGCGGTTGATTTTATTATTGTTCGAAGGAGAGCAACAAACGCCGCTGCTCCCGCCTGTGGCCAGCCGTCTTCAGCAATTCTTCTTCTTGTCTTCCTCGCCTTCCTCGCCTTCCCCTTCACCGCCATACAACGAAACACACATACACATACACACGAAGAAGATCTCTTGAGCACAACATCTCTTCTTCTTTCCTTCTTTCCTTCTTACTTTCCATCCAGTTGATCTCCTCAAATGCCAACAACAAAATAATTTCACCCATTTCTCCGGACATCTCGTAAGTCTCGACATCGTATATATACATGAATACATGCTTGTTTGTGTACCACATCTCATCAGGCGTCAGAGCTCCCACTTTCTCTTCCCTATTGTTTTCCCTTCTTTACGAGTTGGCCATCTCATTTAAAAACGCGGTCTCATTGGATTCGTACTCGGTGTCTTCTTCGTGCTTTGCGACAGGAACACATTTATCGTTGTGCTCGCCGAAGCAGTTGCGCCCTGCGGACCGTGCGGTACTTCGCGGAGAAAAAAACACACACACACACACAGACACCCACTCAGAGCACGCACCCGCATACATACATGTCCAACCCATCTCTCGCAAATCTGGAGGCGCTGAGGGAGGAGCTGTGCTCCCCTGCGCTCGACCAAGGGCACCTCTTCGCTGGCTGGCCAGAGTCGATGGAGGCCTACACGGACAAGCACATCGCCTTCCTCACGCAGCTCTACCTCTTCCAGAACACCTACCACGGCGGCGTCGCACAGTACATCCGCACGGGCAAGGAGCTGCTGGCGACGGAGAGCGAGGAGACGGACTTCACGGCTCTGGAAATGCCGCCGCTGGTCTTCAACATCCCGCTGCTTTACCAGCGAACGGCGGAAATGGCGGAGCTGGAGAGGACCGGGACGGAGATGCTGCGCAGGACGGTGTTTGTGCTGGTGGCCGGCGGCCTAGGCGAGCGTCTCGGCAGCTCCGACATTAAAGTCGGCCTGCCGGTGGAGACGGCGACGGACACGACCTACCTGGACTACTACCTGTCGTGGGCGCGGCAGGTCGGTGGGCCGGACGTGCCCTTCGTGCTCATGACCTCCGACGACACCCACGCCCGCACGCTGCGGCTCATACAGCAGTTGAACCCGAAGATGCCGAACCTGCGGGTGTTGAAGCAGGAGCAGGTCTTCTGCTTCTCCGACCCGTCCGCCCATCTGGCCGTCGATCAGTACGGAACGCTTCTGCGGAAGCCGCACGGCCACGGCGACGTACACTCGCTGATCCACCACGCCGCGGTGCGGGATGGCGTGGTGCTGTCGCCCACAGAGGACGCTGCGTCCGCTGACAAGCGCGGCTTGCTGGCCACCTGCGACGACCCCATGCAGCCTTTGGTTGAGGCGTGGCTCAACGCCGGCTATGCTTCCATCGCATTCCTGCAGGACACCAACGCGTGCGCCACCATCACGATCCCCATCAGCCTTGCCATCAACGCGCAGCACCGCCTCGACATGAACTTCACCTGCGTCCCGCGCTTGCCGAAGGAGTCGGTCGGCTTGCTGTGCCGTGTCAAGAAAGGCAACGATGAGCCGTGGAGGGTTGCCAACGTGGAGTACAACATCTTCGCGGAGGTAGCGCGCACGCTGACGGCCGAGGGTGGCGACGTGGCGAGCCACAAGTCGGAGTACTCGCCCTTCCCTGGCAACATCAACACCCTCGTGTACAGCCTACCGAGCTACGCGGAGGTGCTGCGGAAGTCGCACGGCACGGTGCCGGAGTTCATTAACCCCAAGTACTCCGACGCTACACGGCGCCACTTTAAGAAACCGGCACGTATCGAGTCGCTGATGCAGGACATCGCACTGCTGTTTCGCGAGGACGAATACCGCGTCGGCGGAACTATCTTCGAGCGCTTCTCCTACCAGCCGGTGAAGAATTCATTGGAAGGGGCCGCCGCTCTGGTGGAGCAGGGCAACGCCCCGTACTGCGCCGCCACCGGTGAGGCGGACTTCTACGAAATGCAGCGTCGGCGCCTGCGGGGGGTCGGGGTGCCGCTCTTCTACGACTCCGAGCCGGAGGTGTCGGTCGCGGAGGACAAGGTGCACTGCCGTATTTTCCCAATTGTTGTCCTGGATGCCGCGTGCACCGGCAGCGGCACCCTCGCCGCGCTCGCGAAGGTCTTCCCGACGCCGGAGAATGTCAGGATTGATCAGCGCAGCACGCTGCTCGTGAAGGGGCGGGTGGTGATTGAGAGTTTGCAGCTGCAGGGCGCCCTCACGATCCGCGGCCCGACGGACCCCGCTGCGCCGCCGCTGGTGGTCCGCGACGTCAACGTGCACAACGCTGGATGGAAGGTGCACGCCTTACCGCCGACCCACCCAGGCGGTGACCCCCGACTGAGCGAGGTGGACCGCATCCGCGGCTTTGTGCTGGACAAGGCCGTCATGGCCGTGCTGGATTACACGACGGGGACGGTGCGCGTGGAGCAGCCGTCGATCGACGCGGACGGCGCAAAGCTGTAAGAGGAAAACGAAGCAAACATGAATCAGTGCGTCGTCCTTGGAAGTCGCTGTCGACGGAGCTGAGCTGAGCTCCCCCTTTTCCCGCCACCTCATCCGAGTAGACGTGCGTGATGTGCTTGATGCGGCTTTTTTCTTCGGCTCGTGTGTGCGGAAGAAGCGCTGGCCAGCAAACCGGAGTTACATGACTTTTCTCTACTTTTTACAAAAGATATATCTGTAGGAGTTGTCTACGCACCTTCGGACTTAGCAGAAGGAAGAGGAAAACAAAGCACACTCTTTTCAACGCTTACTTGCAGAGCAGATGAGGATCTGCGTGCAGAGAGAGAGAGCACCCACCGTGTGAACATGGACATTTTTTTGCCTTTTCATTGGGTTAAAAGCGTAACTGCCAGAAAGGACAGCTGGCCGGCCGCTTTACCTTTCTTTATTTTTAATGGCGAAGTGCATCTGTCGGATCGCGAGGATTCGTCGATGCACGCCGCACCTTTCCCGCTACCCACAGCTGAAATGCTCCCGATGACCGCACTCGCTCTTCTCTCTTTCCCTTTTCCCTTTTCCTAAAACCTCACCTAACTGTTTCTTCGTGGTGAAACCGCCATGTTGCGCAGCGTCAGCGTGCACGGCGAGCTCTCTCCGGCTGTGCGTACGCACATCCCCTCTCTCTTGGTAGCTGTCGCTGACCGTTGCTTCGAATTCGTGCGTGGTGAGAGGACGCTTCTTCGCGGCACCGTGGGAAAGGAAAACACACCTGCAACTCCAAGGTAACACAGACCAAATTCTGTACCGTCTCTTTTCCCTCGCTTTGCTGCTCCTCGTTTTTTTTGTGATTCTTAGAGAAACGCTTCCTTCTTTGCTGCTTTAGAGTTCGAAGGGAGCCGCGCTTGATATTGAAGGCACTATCCAAAGGGGGAATATATATATATATAGATGCCCGTCATTCTCCGCCTCTGCGTGGCCATTGAGAAGGCAGCCCTTCCGCCGCCGCCTTCTTCTATTCTGATGAACCCGACTTCAACCGTCAAGCGCGCCGCGGCGGGGCACGCAGAGCCGGAGGCGGCACGACGCGTTGCAGGTTCCGCTGAGCCAACCCAGCCCAAAGCTGTGGAGGAAACGACGCAGACGCCAACCACCACCAGTACCAACAGCAAAACCGCGGCCAGAAACGCGGCGGACACCCCAAATACCACCGCCTCGCCGCCGCATCCTCAACGGCGGCGTCACAACCTCCTGCACTGGTTCAAGCGCCGCGGCGGAAAGAAGGCGGTGGCCGATGGAGCCGCAACGACGAGCGCGGCGCCAGCGCAGGTACCAAAGCCGGCGTCGCACGAAGCGGCTGCTGGGGCTGCTGCTGATCCTGATGCCTCCCACTGCTCGACCCTGCACCCGCGGCACGCCTCCGACCCCCCTCCATTAAGCACCGCAAATTTCTTACCACCACCACACCCCTCGACATCGCCCGTAGCCGCTGACAACGAGGGGAACACCCAGGCAGACGCGGAGCCGCAGCGCTCGCTGATGTGGGTCTCCGTCCTGCTCACTCCGACTACCACCGTCAAGTCGGTCGTGGAGCTGGTTCACAGCATGGTGGAGCGGCGCATGGGTGCAAGGTTGTGCGAGGAGGGCGACGTTCACAACTTCTCGAGCACCACCACCCCGGCAGGCTCCTTTGCGATGGTGCCGTCGCATGCGGGGACAACGGACGAGACGGGTCATCGGGCCGGCTCCAACAGCGGTCGTGGTGCCCGTGGAGGGGGTACCACTACTCTTACTCCTTCACCTACCGTGAGTGCCCCCACTGTACAGGTCGTCAGTCCTACCTCGAAGACGGCACCATCGCCAGCTGCTGCCGCCGCCGCAGTGGATTCGACGGAGTGGTGTCTCTGCGTGCAGGACGGCGATGGAGTTTTCCACTGGATGGGCAGCACCCGGCACTATCAGAAGAGCGCCGTTCTCCACGCCCCCTTTGCGGCGGAGGCGTGTCTGCAGTCGCACGCCGCGTTTGAGGCGGAGCGGTTGAAGCTGAAGGCAGAGGCACGGGCACGGCGTAAAGCGCAGGTGCGAACGTCGGCGGGTGGCAGCTCGCGGCGGGCGTCGTTCGCCACGCAGGGTGGACCGGCGGCGCTGGAGGGGTCCGACTCCGCATCCACCGCCGCCTCAACACTCGGGAGCGATTCCTCCTCGCGCAGTTCATCAGCGGGGGAGGCGGAGGGAGACGGCGCAGCCGGGCGCGGCGGTCGACGCGGTCGCCGTCTACCCCGGCCCTTTCACCACCGCCACACGCACATCACCGACGGTTCAGGAAAAGCGGGCAGACGCGACACGAAAACGAACCGCAAGAGAAGAGGAGGAAAGGCGGCCGAGTTGCCCGACGCGCCGGACACGCTGCGCTCCTCCAGCGCCACGGCCAAAGCCTTCGCGAACCCGTCGGCGGATGAGGCCAAATTTGCGTTCTTGAAGGGTGTGGTGGTGCCATCGCTGGTGCTGCAGCAGCGCAATCCTGCGCTGGCGCGACACCGCCACAGGCTCCCTCTCTACAGTGAAGTGCACGTGCCGCGGGCGATGCGGGCGGAGCCGCTTGACCCAGCCCCAGCCACCCCCACAATGATAAAGCCATCACCTACATCAGAAACGGCCGAAGTTCCGTCCGCGCCTGCACCCGCGCTGGGGTCGCCGTCCTCCGTGGCGGCCAAGGCTTCCTTCGATATGCCTCTCGTGCACACGTCGTTTTCGAAAGAGGAGGACGTGGATGTGGACGTACCGCCTTCAGTGCCGGCGCAAACGGGTTCTTCGGCGTCCTTGGCGTCGACGCCGCCCACACCTGCGCCACAGCAGGCGCATGCAGCAGCGGACTCGTTGAATGCTACACTGCCTCCTACTGGGGTTGTGGACAACGGCACGGATGCTGCCGCTGCTGCTGACGCCCCGCGAAAGAGTTGGACAACGTGGGGTGAGTCGCGTGAGGACGCGGAGGGGAGAGAGCCAACACGCGCTGCGGACGGGCACACAGATGCGCCGGTGGGCCTTGTCCCGCACGCCACCGCACGGGGCAGACGCGTCAGTGGCCCGCTGGGCGCTGTCGCCGATGAAAAGGCGACGGAGGGCCGGCCGGGCGATGCAGCTGACGTGGAACCCAAAACAGCCGCGGAAGTGCCGGTGCAGTGGACGAAGGAGGAGGATGTTGCACGGCTGGGCCTGGCCGCGGCCCAGCGCGACTACGCTGCGGCGCTGGCGGCCTACCGAGCCGCCGTCCCACCGCCGCCCACGAGCATCCATGAACATTTGGACACCGCGAAGGGCGGCGCGGATGCCGCCAGCGTGAACGTCGATGCGGAGCTCGCTGCATTGATGAAGCGCAAAGTTGAACTGCAGGCCGCCGTCGAGGCGGGACGGCAGGCAGAGCGGCAATGCGAGCGGCTCACTGCACTCGTGGAGTGTATGGAGAAGGAGCTGCGCGAGCGTGAGGAGCGTCGGGCGTTGCTGACGGCGCGTTAAAGGTGCGGAGCTGTGATGTTGCTGTGGGTTGCACCATCCTCCTTTTTCTCCTACTTTTATTTCCGTTAGGAGTTGTGAAGTGCGCATCGTCACCATTGGTGCAGAAATGAAGGCTTTTCAATTTGAATAGGAGCGCGAGATCGTTCGTTGGTGACACGCTGTAGGGCAACTTAGTGTTTCTCTGTGTCTCTCTCCGAGGGGGGCGGGAGGCCGAAACTGTCCATTTGTTGCTCCATCCCCCCCCTTCTCTCTTGCGCTTGTTCGCCTGAACTTTACCCTTCTTCTTTTCTCTTTCTTCTTTATTAACTCTTACAACAACTCGTTGCTTCCGCACAAACATCAACCGGCACAGCACAGCAGCAGCAACAGCAGAAGCAAAAAAAAAAGGCTGTGGAGCGAGAAAAGAAGGAGAAGGTGAGGACGTTCGCGTTTCTGGAACGCACGCTGCGCTTACGCATCCTTGTTTATGCCTTTGCTGTATCTCCATTGCATTATTCTCTGTGAGCTCTATCGTCGAGACGGGCAAGGAGGTTTCTTGAGCTCCTCCACACCCCGTCGCCGAGGAAAAACAATTAAAAAGGCGTTGGTGGCACTTGCACCATTTCTTTTTTCTAGGTCAGCATATCTGGATCAACGAAGAAGCCACTCGTAGTCCCCCCCTTGGCCCCTATCCCTGATAGATGCGCGCCCTCAACTCTGCAGGGGCGGTATCGATGGTCGTCGTGGTCGACGTGGTGGATACGGCGACGGCCAACAACGCCGTTGCGCGCGCGAATACCCCCGAGAACGCGCCGGACGCGGACCATCCGATAGAGCGATTGGAGATCGACGTGGACGTCACACCGTACACGACGGCGGATGCCCTACTAGCCGATGTGGAAGCCGCGCTAGAAGAAATGGAGTGTTTCCTGTGTGTCCCCCGCAGCGCGGCAGCCCTCGCTGCCGGACATGTACTGCCTCCGCTGTCAGCTGTAGAATTGGCTATGCGGTCGGCGGTGTCGAGCGCCAGCAGCAGTGAAGACAACACGTTGGTCAGTCACTACGTGTCTGCTCTGCGGCACGTGAGGGGCGCAGCGGCTCTTGCGAGAGGGGCACTGCGCATCGGCGGTGAGTGTGTGTGCCGTGACCCATCAACAACGACCACTTCCTCAGCTCCCCAGGAGCAACAGCCGACAGTTTGGTCCGTCGTCCCGCGACCTCTTGGTGCGCCTGCGGAGTCGCTTGTCGCAGTCTCCACCTCCACCGCCGCCACCTCTGGGGCCTCCTCCCGCCTGCTGACACGCGAGGAGCCCACACCGTCGTCCACTGCTGCTGCGGCAACAGGAGAGGCAGGCCATGCAGCCTCTCGTGGAACCGGCGACGTACAAGAGAAGACTCCACATGACGGCGCGGCTGACTCGGAGAAGAAAAAGGAATCGGAGAACGGCAGTGCGAAGGGGCACGCGACGCCCACTTCAAAGCCAGCAGCGGCGTGTCCCCTCTCCCCGCACTCTGCCGCCGCTTCGGTGGTGGCTTTAGAGGACGTCGATGTGTTTTCGTTTCGTCGCCTGCAGGCCCACCGTGCCCTCGTCCTCGCTCGTGAGGAGACCGGCGCCAATGCGACGTCGGTGCTGCCGGGTGGCACCGGTGCGGCAACGTCGGAGGAGCAGCAGCGGCTGCGGCCCACCCTGCCCTGGGCAGCTGTGGAGGCGGCCGTACAGGCGGAGGTGCGTCTCCTGCAGGCACAACACGTGCTCACGGACGGATGCGCCGAGACGACGGAAGCGCTGAAGCACGCAGGCCACCTGCTGCACGATGCGGCGTCTTCGTTGCCGGCTGCACGAGCTCGTCTGCGCGCTGCGTGGCTGACGGCGGCTCAAGAGGAGACGGCGGCCTATCAAACGGAGATCGAGGAGCTGCGCCAGGCGACGGAGAAGGCGGAGGTGTGGCGTGCGGCGCTGAAGGAAAGCGTCCGAATGGAGGTGGCAGCGCTGGAGAAGGAGGTGGCGCAGCAGACGACGGTGGTGGCCGAACGTGATGTGCTGCGTAGTCGCGTAGAGCAACTGGAGGCGCAGGTGGCTGCGGCGAAGGCAGAGGAAATGGCCCTGTTGCAGTCTTCCAAAGCGGTACCTGAGAAAACGAGATCACCGACAACCGCGGCGGGCGACGCAGCCGTGGAGAAGAGGGATGCGACTGCGAAAGCACCACGAGAAGGAGAACGCACCCAGAGCAAAATAGAGACGGTGGCAGCAACAGAGTCGGCGCCGTTGCTGTCATCCCACGACGCGCTACGTCGGCAGTTGTCGCCCCCTTCTCCATCGTTATCCTCTCCTGCTTCGACGACTTCCTCGAGCGACTCGAACCTTCCGCCACCACCGCCATCGCCGCCACCGACCACGGAATCAGCGCTCGCGTCTACGCATCGGCCAAGAGCGACCTATACAAACACGACGCCCACCCAGAGGACGACGTCGGATCCGCCGCTGCTGCCGGAGCAGCGGTGGTCTGGCCGGCGGGTCCCGCTTCTTCACGCAGACATTCCTGCTGCTGCTGCTGCTGCTGCTCCACCTCCACCGCCGCGGCGTCGTCACGGCCGTCTCAGCCTCGAGCGAAGTTTTCTCTCACCCGCACTGCAGGAGGAGGTGCGAGCTGCCTTGGCCCCAGACGCGGAGCAGAGTACCGGGTCCACGTCTTCTTCGCCCGCTGCCGCTTCGGACGGGGACGGGGGTGCCGGCTCTCCACCACGCAACCGACGCCTCCTGAAAGGGGCAACAGGCTATGCTGACCCGGATCAATTCCCACCCCCTCCCCCTCATCCGCCGTCGCGCCGTCGTCGCTACCAACGAAAGGAAGATGCAGCTGCTTGGGCTGAGGACGACGTACCGACCGGGCCCTCTGAGGATGTTGACGCTGCTGCTGCTGCTGCTGCCGCAGAGTCTCGACTCCCCGTGCCAGCTTCCGTCACGCCGCTTCGCACCGCCTTTGCCACCGCGTACTCGCCTTCTCCTGTGGTGCCGGGCGTATACTCGCAAGAGGGGCGCCGCCCGGGTGACTCTCTAGGTGGGGCTTCGTCCGCACCGCGTCCTCGTCAAGCGCCCAGCGCGCCGATCCCCTCCCCAGCCTTCTCCAGATTATACGACGAAGGAGAGCGGTCAACGTGGCTGACGGCGCATCCCTCTCAGCGGACTGACCGGCAAACCTCCGCCAGGGCCGCTGCAGCGGCGGAGCTGCAGCAGGTGACGGCTGCGCTGCGCCGTCACATCCGCGAGCCGCAGCCCGATCCGTTAGAGGGTCAGCGGCTGCTTCAACAAGTGCGGGAGCTGCGCCGTGCGATGGAGCGCGACAGCGTCACGGATGAAGGGGACGGTGCGGAGGAAAGCACTCACGAGGCGGATGCGCGGCGCAGTAGGCACGGAGGTGGAGGGGAAAACGCGACTTTTGTGGACCCGCATGAAGCCCGTGCTTCCGCTGCTGTGTCACGCACCGCAGATCGCCAGCCTTTTGCATCGTCGTCACTCCTATACGATTCCCGCGTGCCGAGTCGGCGCAACGGCGTGTACAGGTATTGAAGGTGTCCCACGGCACATGGTGGCAAATAAACGCGGGACTTCTTCTCCTTTTTCTTTCCTCTTCACGACGGCACGTGTGGCGTGCACCTCTCAAACGTGCTGCCTATTCCGTTCCTCACGCCGATCGCCGCAACAGCATCAAAAGCTAAACATTTTAATGGACTCGCTCTTTTCCTCGCCTCCCAGGTGCACAACTAGTCCAGCGAGCGTGAAGAAGGTGACTCCCCACGCCGCTCTATTGCCTCGGCTTTGTATCCTTCTAGCAGCTGCCCTTTCTCTTATTCCCTCTTTATATATCGTACACATCCACCTGGCAGTGTACATCGCAAAGCCGTCCTCCATCGTGTAGGGGCGTCTTCCTCCCATGTCAACCTTTCTCCCCCCCCCCCCTCACCCGCTTCTCTTTCTCCTACAACTGTCACAACGAATACTTGCTGCGGAGAACACATCGATTTTTAGTCGCGCAGTCTTTTTAAAATACAAATCTGTCTCTTCCCTCTCCTCCCACAGAAAGAAAAGAGACTCCGGAGAGCCAACTGCGCGCTTACGTTGCGCGTGCCTTCACTTGCCCAGTCTCGCCATTCCTCCGTCCTCGTTTTATATTTATCTATCTCTCTCTCCCGCTTCATTTTTGCAAAAAGGATTTTCTCTTCGCTTTCGTCTTTGTTTATTTCGTGTGCGTTTACTGTTCTCTTTTCCCTCCTGCTTCCGTTTCTGCCTATCCGCCGTCGTTCATTGATATATTTATAGTGCTCTTGGTGTCGACAGCGAAGAATTCCTTTGCTTCACCGGCACTGATTTGTGTTGCCTCTGCTGTTTTTTTTACTAAAAAGAAAAAAAACACGAATCAACATCAGAATTGTTTTTAGAAAGCACCTTCTCTCTGTGTGCGTATGCGCTGAGAGAAATCTTTCTTTCCTTCACCTCTTTTCCCCACGCCCGCTTTTTTCTTTCTTTTCTCCTTGTCAGCCGCGGTAGGAAGTACTCCCGTTGCTGCTACTATTCAGTCTCGTTAACCCCACACCACACCACACCACCTGCTTCTATCTTCATTTGTATTTTTTTTGTTGGTGTTTGTCCCTTTTCCGTTCTCCTTCTGCTCCGCGGCCAACGTTGTGCCTCCGTGCGCGGTTTCTGTACTGGGGTCGACGGTTGAGCCGAGGCGCCACTCGAGCTTCGACGGTCGCCGTATTTTCCCGTGTCTTTCCCGTTTCGCTTTGGCTTCCTCAGGAGGCAAAAAAAATACAAAGCAAATAAAACGGTGAAGAAGAAGGAGCCGTCTTCTCATTGCCATCAGACTCCACTCACACATACACGCATACACATAACACCACCATCAGCAAAAGCACTTCCACCATGGACCCCACCTCTAACGACTACGCCTCTCCCCCCTCCAGTCCGGTAGAGCGAGACCTCACGGCCGTGATGATGGCGGACGAGGACCCCTCCACGCCGCACAACTCCACCGTCACCACCACTGCGGCCGCGGCGGCAGGTGCTGTCGATCTGCCCCACAACGTCAGCAGCTGGGAGTTGCTGGACATCACGGCGGCGTCGTTCACCGCCCAGAACGGCGGAGGCTTCGGTCTGACCGCCCTCCCCATCAGAGGAGAAAGAAGGGACAGTAACGCTGATGAAACACCCGCGGCGGCGATGGCGCACTCATCGACGAGGGAGGATGACGCCCCAGCGCACGTAGATGCCACAACGGGTGCACCGTCGGTTCCGCCTCCACACGATGCACTCCGGGAAGGGGCGTCGGATGTGTACGACGCTTTCCCCACCGCAGAAAGCGGCTGCGTCTCCCCAGCCAACTCCACCCTCAGTGGGTGGTCCCTCATCTCTATTCCGTCGGAGGCGCACTTCAACTTGGGCGTCGCGGCACCCGCATCGCAAACACAGCCGCCGTGTACGGCAGCCGACGCTGACGCCACGAACACCGATTGCAAGGGCAGGACTCACAAGATGGGCCATGAAGGCGGCGCTGCGGATCCGTTGGTCGCCGATCGTGTTGTGTCTCAGGCTCTCTTCATCGCCTCTCCTCTTCTGTCGCCGGTGCCGCTGGCGCACGAGATCGCTTCTGTTGCTGCCGCAGTGGGAAGCAGAGGGCGTGAGGGCTGGTCGACGACGAGCTACGAAGAGGTGTGCATGAGCGACGCCTGCAAGAGTGGCGGCCAGACCACCCGCGCTGTCTCGTCGATCGTCTCCGCCTGCACGACACCGTCGCCCTTGCACAGCGCCGCCTTCCTTGCGGAGGTCAGCACCCTCTGCCCTCCAGGGGGGGCTCTGCCAGAAGAGGAAGGGGCGGGCGAGGCGATGGCGGCGTCCAGGCCGTCCCATCACGAATTGGCGAGAGCGCAGTGGACGACGTGGATGTGCAGGGAGGTGGAGGGGGACGGTACGGTGCACGAGGGCGTCGAGCAGCTGTCTGGTCTCCCCCCGTCTTCACCCACAGCCTCCACCGACGCCTCGAAGACGGCATCGAGCCGGACGGCGACGTGGTCGGCGCGGCGGCTGTCTTTCCTTTCCGCCTCGACGGCCACCGTGTCGTTCACCGCCGCCTTCATTCCGCGGACGTCTCTCACAGGTTTCACGGGTGCCACGGCGTCCCTCTTCCACGCGAACGGTGAGGCCACGGTGCACGACACGCCGCCGCCACCGCCTTCCTCCGCGTCCTCGTCGACCGCCTCTTCTTCGCCTTTTTTGTCGGTGCTGGTGGGCGACGCAGCGCAGTGGTGGTCCTGGACGCGTGTGGCGTGCGCCGATGGCCCGCAGCGGGCCCTGCGGGGTCTGCACCAGGTGTGCGACTACATCTGGATGGACCTGAAGGAACACTGGTACCCGCAGCTGCGGCTGGTGCTGGGCGATCACTCCTGTGCGGCGAAGGTCCACCGCACGTACCGCGGCCGCCGACGCGTTTCCCACCGGAAGGCCGACAAGAAGGCGGCGACGCTGTCGGGGCACGCGTCACACCGGCTTGACGACGGCGTGGAGCCGAAGGAGTGGCGAAGCGTCTCTGCGCCGTGCCTGGTCAGCGGACAGGTGTACCCCTCTCACGAGTCCAAGCGTGCCGCAGCGGCGGTGAGTGAGAAATGGAAGGACTTGCACTCTGAAACAGGTAAGGGCTGCGGTCACGCCTCCCGATCCACGCGGCACGGGCTGCAGCTTTGTTTTGCCGTCACGGCAGACGCCGTGGCATCCGCTGCGCAGGGCTTGTGCGTCTTCCTGCTGTGACCGGGAGGGCCTCCTTGTACTTTTCCTCTCTCTTCCTATTTATCTATTTATCTATTCACCAACTAGGTAGTTTCTCAACTCTGATTTTTGTTTCCTTCATTTAACTGTTTTAGTTTTTGTCTCACCTGACCTTCCTGCGCCGTTGTGTGCGTGCTGTGGATGTACGCGTTTGACCTCTTTCGACACCCCTGCTTCCCCTTTTTTGTTTGTTTCTTTTGTATGTTTGTTGCCTTCTCTCCCTCTCTCCCTCTCTGTGTGAGTTCGTGTGCCCACGTGTCGCCTTCCATCTTGTGTGCTGCGCAGTTCCGTCAGGAGGCCCTTTTCAAAAGTCTCTCCCTTTTTCCTTTTAAGCTGTGCTCGTCCCGTCACGCACTTGGCCAGCCCACCTGTTCTGCCTTTTCCACCTTTTCCCGTTCCTTCACTTCGTGCCGTTTCTCTGATACCACTTCTTTCTTTCTTTCTGTTCTGTTCTTCTTTGAGGGGGTTTCCGCCCTGCGTTGTTCAACGCGTTCCTTCAGCAGACTAAGCCGTCACGCAGTCCTCCCCACCGACACACACAAGGCATAATAACTTCCCGACGACATCGTGCGTCCGTCTCTCCCTCTCTTTCTCTCTGTGTGTGTTTTCTTCGTATTATGAAAATAAAAGTGTTCTTTCGCTTTCCGTTTGAATCTTGAGACCTGCGGTTATTTATTTACTTGAATGATTATTGCTACTACTCTAAATTGCTGCGTTCTTCTTCTTCCTTTTCCGCAGAACAGCGTTGTACCGCCTCTATTTTACTGCTTTTGCTGGGCGTGCGTGCGTAATTCCCCTACTTCTACCGTTTGTTAGGAAGCTAGATGCATTAGTAAATATATATGTATATGTTTACGCATTTCCGCGCCCGTGGGTTTCCGTTGGTGGCTCTATCCATGCCTGTCGCGTCACGCCCTCTGCGGCAAAGCGAATGCCGTGACTGAAAGGTAGGAGGAAAAGCCACAACCACAACTAGTATTTCCCGTTGTTTAAAAGAAGATTTTGTTTTTGTTTTTTAAAGCTGTATCTCTCCCAATATATATGTCTACGTGTCTGGGTGTGTGTCCGTGCGTGTCGGTTTGTGTGTGTGTGTACTTATGAAGTTCAGAGGGGCCGAGTAACGAAGAATGAAAAGAGACTGTAAGGACTTCGATTTGTTCATCTGCAGTGTGTTTTTCCCCTTTTTTTTTTCCTCATTTGCTTAAACCAGTGCTATTATTATTATTATTCCTACTTGTGGTTTTTGTGTTTATAAGTGGAGGAGCGTTTATACCTTTTATGTTGCGACACGCTCGTCAATGAAAAATACAACGACGTTGATGCCTTGCCTTTCTTTTCCCCGTTTTTCTTTTTGTTCTTTCATACTCTGCACATACACGCAAGGAAATCAACCGACAATAGATCAAGGAAACAATCAAAAGTTTATTATTAAGTCCGCTAACAACGAAGTTATATATATTTGAAGACGAAGGAAGAGTGGACGAGGCGGTACATTCGCTGGCCTCTCTTCGTGCGTGTACGTGCTTCCACGCCTACACCTCTTCACGATTCAAAGAAAGCAAAACAAAGAAGGATACACCCACACACACATAAAAACACGCATACACAAATCTTTGCTTCTGTTAATACATTTCTCTGCTTTTTTTGTGTGTGTTTTTTTTTACTGGGAGCGAAGCGGGCAAAACTGCACTGTTATCTACTCGCTTTTGTGCCTTCCTCAGTGCCTCTCACACTGCCACGAAGCAGCCCAGCCCACTCCCCTTCCCCCCTCCCCCAAGAAGGAATTATCTGGCCAAGGCGCAGGGACAACTATGCTGCAGAGAGACACGTGTTCCGCACTGTCACGCTGCGCACTGCGGTGTGGGTGATTTTCGTTGTTGTTGTTGTTCGTGACGCCTGAGACTTTTTTCTCTTTTTCTTTTCCTCTATGCATATTCTGCGTAGTCAGGTGGAATAGAAGGAGAGGAGCGCCGACATGTATGCACCACTGCAAAAAGACGAAGAGAAAGGAGCGCGTCTTTTGCGTGTGCGCTCTCTCAAACCAGCTGCTCTCGTGCTATACCGCAGCAGGGGCCTAAACAACGTGCCGGGTGAAGCAATAGAGGTGAAAAAAGAAAAACTGCTGAGCGGCGCACAAGGCGCGTTGCGTATACGGCGCTTATGTCTCTCCATCAACAGGGCCTTTTACTTTTCTTTCTTTGGGTTTCCCCCTTCAGGATCAGAGAAGAAGACGAAAAAAAACACACACGCTGGAAGAACCCCCAACTCCGGCAAAAAGAGCTTGTTGATGACGAGCTCTCTTCCCCACGCTCCTCCACACACCTCGTTGTGTGCCGCGTAGCGTCCGCGTCTCGCCTGTGATGCACGTCGCCTCAGCTTTGTGATGTCGACTCCCAACCTCCGTTTCTTTTTTGTTTTCTTCTCCTTTCGTTGCCGTTGGGTGGGCGCTGTATATCGTGTGCTGCACTTGACTGTCGGGGAACGAGCGCCGTACGGAAGTTCCAATTTGCGCTGCTCCTCTGCAACCGCAGGCAATCGAGTGAAGATTAAGCAAGGAATCACACGACTGCCTTCTCAGGGACTCCGTTCCACCTAATCCACTGCTCTTATATATATATATACAGAGACTATTTATACTACACTAAAAGACCTAACAAACCAGGCAAGTGATCGCAGCAAGCAGGCAAGAAGAAGGACTAAAGGAGCACTCGTCAACGACTTCAACGTGACGTTGTAAAACATAAGATGTCGCGGCGCACCTTCTTGGAAAACATGCTTCAGGAGGCGCGCAACTGGGACGCCTCGGACGTGGACAGTCCACGGCTTAGCAGCGGCCGCGATCCCACCAGCACCAATCGCGCCTCGCCGGGGGAGATGAGTGCGAAAGACTCGACGCACACGCCGAGGGACACAGTGCGGCGGCCCTCTTCTCGTGCTGCCGCCACTGTCACCGCCACAACACCATCAACGCTCTCCGCCGTGCGTAGCACCAACTCCCGCGTCACGTCCGACCCCCTGCCCTCCACCGCAGCCACCCGTGATGCTCCGCTGACAGACAACGCGCGGCGCACGGCACACCGGGCCGACTTCCCTGCGAATGCAGATGCAGCAGTGGCGGTGTCACGCTCCTCATCGCCGCCGCTGCACACGCCGCTGACGGTGGTGGAGCTGGAGGATGAAGATCACCCGGTCGGGACTTTAAAGTTGCTGACCAGGCGAACAAACGGCCACGCCCAGCTGAGTCTGCTCCCTGAAACCCTAGAGACGGATGGCGGCAACGAGCAGGCGCAAAGCGAGGGGACACCGGCGTCGTCGATGCCGCGCAGTGCTTCGGCGAACCACATCCAGCCGCAGCCGACGCAGCGCCGCTCCAGTCAATCGATGTCGACGGTGCCAGACGTGCTCGTCACCCCACGCGCACCAAACTATGGCCGCTTCTCCAACCCGCGCAACGGCAGCGGTCAGTCGAGCCAATCGGTCAGCGCTCTGACCCCCGTGGCAACGGTGGCACGCGGCCGCTGCGCCCGCCCAGGCGGTGACCACAGCGGGCGCAGCGACAGCATCAACCGCATGGAGGCGTCGCTGATCGCGCTGCAGGTGGAGCTGGCGACGGAGAAGCGAAACAACATTGAGGCAGAGCACCATATCATGACGTTGAACACGGAGGTGCGGAAGCTGCGTGCGGAGAACGCGCGGCTGTCGCGGGAGGTGGCCGAGTCCGCAGCAACACCAGTCGGTGGTCACCACAGGAAGGACGCGACGACGTCTGCTGCAGCGGCAGAGGCGGCAGCGGTCGCTTCAGCATCCGACCCTTCTATTCTTCTGCACGGCGACGCGGCGGTGGCGGCAAGGCGCATTGAGGCACTGGAGGCCCGGGTCGGGGAGTTCGCGCGCAACCTGGAAACGAAGCAGCGCGAGATCGACACCAAGGACGAGCGTATTCGCCTGCTGGAGCACAAACTGGCTGATCAGCTGCTCCTGCAGACCGGCGTGCACTATCTGACCATGCCCGCCGCCGCCGCCTCTTTCCCGACGCCAGCTGCCCAAACACCGCCGCCGCCGCAGCAGCAGCAAAGTCATCAACACAACGGCAATGCGAGTTTATCAGGGCACAACGTAAGTAACGCGACGGCCGCCGGCCTTCTCTCACGCCGGCCGTGGTACGCCGCGGCCCCAGACACCGCCCTGGCAGGCCCAAAGATCAGCACCATCCGCCACGTCCCGCTGGGCTGGCAGGCGCACCCAGCTGACGACGCCGCCGCCGCCACCAACAACGTGCGAGGTGCATCCGCGGTGCGGCGGCGCAGCCCTGTCGGCGCCCACGCCGGCGGTCCGTCCGATGACCTTCTGCAGCTCAGTCCAGTGCCACCACAGAACGAGAAGACGGAGGGGGAGGACCGCACTCGCACTCCGCCGCCCCCGACCGCCACCACCGCCGCCTCGTCCCCGGTGCCGGCTGACAAGAAGGAACTCGTGGCGGGCGAACGCGAAAAACGCAAAACCCCGGTGCGGCACCCCAGCGCACACCGCGAGCTCCCACTTCGACCGCAGAGCACCCGTCGTCGGCCGAGTGGGTCCTCGCGAGGCAGCATCAGTGCAACACCGATGGAGGGGGGACGGCGTGTGTCACGGCCGGAGCTGATGGGCGTACGGACAGACTCCATCGGCAGCGAGCCGCACAAAACCGCTGCTGCTGCGTCTCCTGCGGGTGTCGCGCGGATTCGGGAGGCCGGGTCGTCGCCGTCTGCAAGCGGGCGTCTCAGCGCACGTCGGCCCTCCGTCAGCCGCCGCTCGTCTTCCTTCTCGCAGTACGCGGCGCCGGAGGCGGACGGTTCACTGGGGAGAGACTCCGGCCGCAGGTCCGGCGGCGGCCACCCGGCGCACCTGAGCGTGTCCGGCAGCAGCGGTGTCGCCGCCAACTCCGCCGGCGCGGTTTACACAATGAATCAACGCGCGCTGTCGACGTACCGCTCCGCCCGGCCGCCGTCGGCGACGCGGTCGATGGCGCAGCAGAGCGTGCGCTCCAGTACCTCGACGCGGCAGCGCCCGCAGATCGCCTTCACCTCCGACGGGGAGACATCCACGATGAAGGGCACCACCACCACTGTCATGTTTCGCGCGCGCGACGGGCGGGCAGGGAGCAACCCGGCGGCCAGCGACGGCAGCCACGGCAGCACCACCGCTGCAGATCCTCAAGTGGCCGCGGCGACAGCTACGGGGCCGTCGAACTCCGCCGCAGACTCTTCCATCGCGGCGATTTAAAAGAGGAGCTCAGTGTGGCCATCGGCGCATCTCTTTTCTTTCTTCTCCTTTCGCTCTCTTCGTTGTGCTGACTGCGCTGTGGACTCGCGGGAAATCAAAAAAGTTCTTTCTCTTCGTTTACGTCTGAGTCGTTGCCCTGTGTTGCCTTAGATTCGCTTTCAATGGATTTCCATGTAGTCCGTTTCTCATTTTGTGTACATACTTCCCTGCATTCATGTTTTACTCCCTTTTCTCTTGTTGGATTTCTCTGGTCTGCTGCACGCTCCTTCTCGAGCTCTTCTCATTTTTCTTTTGCTTGTATGACGGCGGGTGCTGCTGGTTTGAATTCGAAATATATATATATATATTGATGTACAGGAGGACGATGCTGCGACCAGCTTTTTTCCCCCCTTCCGTCGACTGCGCCTCCACTGCCATTCATATTTTAGTGGTGTACGCGTTTTGGCTCGAATGAAGGGATACACGGGTGCCTTGGTTTTTTCTTCTTCTTGGGTGCTTCATTTGCTGCTGCAACATGGCAAGGGAAACGGGGAGCAAGAAGAGGTGGTGCTTCGTCGGCAGCGAAGGCGGCAGGTTCCGCCCGTCTCCGTAGAGCTCATCGGGTGGTGAGGGGAAAAGAAAAAAAAAGAAAACAAGAAGGCGGTACCGCATGCGTATGTGCCTGCGCCGTTGCGGCACCCCTGTCAACGCCGCTGCGCCACTCACCTTGATCCTCCTCTGCGAATCCGCTGCCATTCTCTCCTCTCTCTTTTATTGTTCATAACTTTGAGCGTGCTTCACCAACCGGCTACCTGCTCCCCTTGCGAGGTCGAGACCTCGTCAACGCCGTCCGCGTATTGGCTTAGTCGAGGAAGCACAGCGCGCCTCACATCAGGCTCTAGTCGCACATTGAATTTTTTTGGTTTGTTCTGAAAGCAAGCGTTTCACTGCTTCCGCCTGCGAGCATCGCTGACGTTGTTTGCGCCTGACGCCGTCTTGCTCTTCTCGGTTCGGGACCTCGCGAGTGCAGGCCCCCATCGTACTGCGTTCGTCACGCAGGCGCATACATCTTAAGTTTTGTGCACAGACATACACACGCCCACACACGCCCCTTCCCTAATAAAGCGAGCGCATTGCTGTGCAGTCTATCACGCTTTAACAGACATTGTTATTCTTTTTCCCCTTTTCGGTTCTTCTCGTTTCTTTCCTCCCTTTTTAAAGCAGCTCCATGGAGTCCCACAACTCCTCGTGGGGGACGAGCCCGGCGGCGGACAGCCCGACCACTGCTCACTCCTCCCGCGTTGCGAGGACGCACCCGCAAATCAAGATTGAGCCGAACTGTCTCGTCTTCCCCCCTCCACACTTCGGCCGCTGCGTTCAGAACGCGATCTCTCTGTATAACGTCTCGAAGAAGCCGTGTGTGTTCAAGATGCGGAGCCAAAACCCGGAGCGGTACGTCGCGAAGCCCCACGTCGCCGTGGTGGCCCCGGAGTCCGCCGCGCGCATCTTCGTGACGCTGCGGGACATGAACACGCTGGGCACGAAGAATTTGCCGGAGGACACGCACGACCGCTTCCGCATCTCCATCAAGCTCTACGACCCGTCCTCGGTGGACGCCTCCCTCTCAGCAAAGGAGCTGTGGAACGTGCTGCAGGAGCGCGGTGCCAGGGTGGACCACGAGCAGGATCTCGTCTCCTTCTTTACGAAGAGAGACACGCCGGTGGGCGGCCTCGTGACCTTCTTTCCACCCACCTACATCCCGGTGACACCGTCGCAGCACCAAAAGGGCGATGCCGCGGTAGCCGGAGTGGCGAGCGGGGCACCGACACCGCCGTCCGCGGGCGGCAACGCGGTGAACGGCGGAGACGCCGCGACCGCGAAGAAGAACGCATCGCCCCCTTCGTCGGCGACTGGGGCTGCGGCAAGGGCAGCGGCAGCGGCAGGGAGTAAGAAGACTCCTGTTGGTGCGGCTTCCGGAAAAGGTGAGGGGCGGGGTGGGGGCACCTCAGGGGAGGTAGGCAAAACAAAGCAGGGCGGAGGGGCTAACAAGATGCCAGCGCTGTGGGTTGGCATTGCCGTGGCGGCGATGGTGGTCGTGGCGCTGGCGGTAGTGGTCGGCGTCACACTGCGCGGACGCGGTCGCGGCGGTGGCAGCAACGGCCGGGATGCTGCTGCGCGGTCACGGAAGACGGATGCGGCTCTGAGCCATGAAGCGCAAGCACGCTTGCAGGAGGAGGCGGAAGAGGCCATCCGTGTTCACGCTGCGCAAGAAGCGGCGCGTCTTCGTGTCCAGCAAGAAGAAGCAGCTGCTGCGGAACAGGCGCGTGCGTGGCAGCAGGAGCAAGAGAAAGCTGCAGAGGCAGCGCGGGCGCAACGTGAACAGCAGGAAGCCGAGGTGCGTGCCCGAGAAGCAGCGGAGGCGGAGCAGGCTCGTTTACAACAGGAGGAGTTAGCCCAGGCGCAGGAGCAGCAGCGGCGACGAGAGGCAGAAGAGGCCCGTCTGGCCCAGGAAGCAGCAGAAGAAGCGGAACGTGTCCGTGTAGCTCAGGAAGCAGCAGCAGAAGAAGCGGCTCGCACACAGCAGCAGCAGCAGCAGCAGGATGCGGCACAGGCACAGCAGCAAGCAGAGGTTGGCGAAGCGGCTGATATGCACTATGAACAGGCGCAACAAGAGGAGCACGTCTCCGTGGAGACGCAGCGGGAGCCCGCGGAAGCGTAGCCTATTTTTTCCGTGCTCAATGAATGGGCTGAGTTGTAACGCTGACTTGTGGTAACGGTGCGAATGGCTTTTGTTTTCCCCTTTTCCCGATGGCAGGTCTCCTCCTTTTGCCCCGTGCATGTCTGTTTTGGGGCTTGTCTTGGCCGTCCGTGTCGTACACGAATGCAGCGGTCGCTGCAGGCCGAACTTGCCCGTGCGACATTTGCTGGTCTTATGTTTTTTTCTTTTGTCTCCTGTGTTTTATTTTCCCCTTCACTTGTAACTCCATGTTTTGACTGTATCGCTGCGTGTGCGTGTGTGTATGTGTGTGTGATGGATGGTGATGCTAGCTTGCGTAGCAGTGAACGTATTTACTCCTCTGATTTGATGAAGGGGCCGTCTTGGTGCCCCCTTCCTGTTTTTCTTCACTTTCTTGCTCGTTTTAGGCCGGCCGTTCGGAGTTGATTTTCATATTTATCTGGCCGTTGTGAACGTGTGGGATGCCACGGAAGAGCGAGGCGACTTGTCCGAAAAACGTATGAAGCGTACAATACACCAGAGGACGAGATATTCCTCAAGAGGAAGGAAGAAAGAGAAAGAACGAAAGAAAGCAGAGGTAAAGGGCCGAAGCTGCCAGCAACGGCAGGACGGGGGCAGTGTGCGCATCAGAGTTTGAAATTGACGCTGGAAGGACGCATGCTTCGGAAAGCGCATGTTTCCTCGGTGTATTCAGGTTTGTTTTTTCTTCTTTGCAACCTTGTCTTCGCCCTTTTGACTCCAGTCATCCTTTAAACGGCCGTAATGCAGAACAACAAAAGCGGCGCGGCGTGACACGGTGCGGCACTTCGCCTTTGAGATCGTTGCCTTCTTTCCCTGTCGGGCAATCACGGCGTCAGCGAGCTGGAAGGCACTCGGTGTGACGCCAGACCTTTCCTCTCCGCCGTTTTTGCTCTGTTTAGCTTTCTGATAGCGCATCGCTTCTCCTCTGTGCCACCCACTCTTCTTTTTTCTTCTCTCTCGTCAAGGTACATAGGCAGAGACGATGCTGGCCGGTGATTGTGAAGCAGGCGTTAGCTTTACAGTGGTCAACGGCGTTCGGCACGACGGCCTCACAGGTGAAAGAGGAGGACAACGACTGTTTTGGAAACTAGAGAGAGCGAGAGAGAGACGTGCCACTTCTTCTACCGCTGGGACGGCTGCCTTACTTCCTACGTGATCCATTCTGCTTGTGCATTCACCGACCTCACCTTTTTTTAATTTTGCTTTAGCGATTTAGCGTTATTGCAGGGTCCATTCGATTCCACTGCATGGAGTATCGCTGCTACATCGTTGGCGACGCCGTCGCCGAGCCGGGTGCGCTGCTCCGTCGGCTGCTCCATCAGCCCTTCCCCGAAGCCGACGAGCGCGCTTGCTGCAGCACTCCCTTCTCTTTACACGCAGCGAGGAGGCGAAGAGCACGAGCACGTACCCCATGGCGGTGTCGCTACCGAACTTGCAGGACGCGCGCGCGGCATCGCTGACCCTGCCGAACCCGTCGATGCCGTCGGTCGACATCGCCGTCCAATTTGCCGCCATCACCGACGCCCATGAGTTTGAGCGGGTGATGTTGCGCCACGACAAGCCGGCCAGCGCGAACCGAAGCTTCTCGCGCGGCCTGCGGCGCTCCTTTTCGTCCCCCGTCTCCTCCTATCAAGACTTCATCTCATCAGAGGTGTCGTTGCCGCTGAGCGACGCGCACGGCGTTGCCCTGCAGGCCCCACCGCACGCCATCGTACTCCTCTTCAACCCGTTCTCGACCTGCTCCTTCTCGAAGCTGCGTGTGGAGTGGGTGCACGTCGTGCGGTTCCTGCGGCAGCAGCGTCAGCAGCTGATGCACTCCACCACCCAGCACGAGCAGTCGCAGAAGCTGTCCACCGCAGCCGCCTTCCACGGGGCGGCGATGCCGTCCTCCCCCCTCCTGCCCGGCTACCCGGCGGAGTCGGTGGAGAGCTTCCCGGTGGTGCTGTTGGTGGCCACGCGGATGGAGCTGATGGGGGATGCGATGGAGGCGATGCCATCCATTCACGTGCCGTCGCTGCTCGACGTGACGGAGGTCGCGCAGGCGCTGCAGGCGCAGGCGTACGTGGAGGTCGGCACGAACTGGGACGAGTCAATAGACCTCCTTCGTGCGACTATTGCGCGGGCCTGCATGGGGGAGCTCGCCAACGCGCCGCTCGTCACCTACAACGCGGCCTACGGCGCACGACAGGCTTCCGTTGCCCGCGCGATAGAGGCGGTGCAGATGGACCCCTATGGGGAAGAGGAAGAAGGAGAGGGTGTTGCTGCTGCTGCTGCTGCTGCAACGGTGGGTGTTGGAGTCCCGCTGACCAACGCAGCGCCCTCCGCTTCGGTGAGGGAGGCCAAAGCGAGCAGCTCCATGGCGGCGCACGGAAACGGCGACGCGGGTGCTGCGCCGACACCGGACGCGGCAAACAGCGAGAAGGACGTCGAGGAAGCGGAGGAAGAAGAGCGAACCCCAACGAGGCCCCGTAATATGGGCGAGGAACACCACACCGGAGAGGACGTAGACAAGAAGGAGCAGAGGAGGAGGCTGAAAGGGGCGGACTCCTCCTTCAACTCCGCCTCCGCCTCCGCTTCCGCCTCTGTCCTCACGGCAGCCGGCACCACCGAACCGGACGAGCGACGGGAGCGCGTGGCGTCGGAGATGAACACGTCGGATGTCGGCACCCGATCAGCCGATCCTTCCAGTTTTGTGGAACAAGAGGAGAAGGAAGAGAACGCCTGTGGGGAAGGCGTCGGTGCAAAGCTGCCGAGCAGCACCGTACGAGAATCGATTGCTCCCGAGGCGTCGATGCCGGGTCGTCGACTGCGACGAGACCTTGCTACCTCTCTCGCGCTTCTCGTCGCACCGGACGCTGAAAAGGCCGGCGCGGATCGTGGCGGTGAGCCGCAGCAGGGAAAGCGCGAGCTTTCCTCCCCCCCCTCACCACCGCCACTCCTGTCTCAACTCAACCAACCTCAGGCGGCGCCCACCACCACCACCACCGCCACAGCAGCAGCTGCCGCAACGGATGTGGCTTCGTCGACGCCAGAAGAGGTGGAGGGACGCAAGGCTCGAGAGCACCACCGACGCACACGAGGAGCGTCGTCCTCGTCGAAGTGGACGTGGCGGCGGCACCCCCTCACCAGCCGCATCTTCTACGTCCACCGCGCAAGTGGAAAGTCGCAGTACGACTTCCCAGACGACTACGACGGACCGCCGCTAGTCACCGCTGTGGCAGCAGCATCCAATGCGGATGCAGCGATGCCGCAGAGGACGATGGAGGAAAGGGGAGCCAATGAACTAAAAGGCGGGGCGCATCACGAGGAGGAGGAGCAAGAGGAAAAGGAGGAGGACAGCCCTGCCGGCACCGGCGCAGAGGAGAAACAGGTAAACGAGGGGGACGAGGGGGCTGCAACTCCACCGGGCGTAGAGATGGAAAGCATGCGTGAGGACTTGGATCGCTGGCATCAGCGTCAGCAGCTGCAGCTGCGCCGCACCCAAGTCGCACGCCTCGAGCGTCAAGTCCATCAGCTGCGGCGCCAGTCGGTCCGGTTACACGCACAGTCGGAGGCCAACGCGGAACTGAAGCAGAAGGTGGCGACGCTGCGCAGTGAGCTGGACGACACAGAACAGGCCTTTTCCGCCGGCGTCGCTGAGCAGAATCAGAAATTGGCAACGGAGGTGCTGCACACCACGGTGGCCGTGGAGGAGCTGACAGCGCTGCTTCTCTCAAAGGGGGGCGGTGATGAGGCCAGGGCCGGCACTGGCAGTGCTGAGCAGCACGCTGTGGCCTACGGGGATGGCGGCGGTGGAAATGGCGGAGCGCAGGCCACACTGACCGGCGTGGCGAAGGACATCCAGCAGCTGGATGCGGACATGACACAAAATATGGAGAGCCTTCGACTGGCGTTGTCGCGGCGCGATGCTGAGGCAGACGCGTTAGAGCTACTGCGACGTCGCCGTGAGCGTGTGGCGCACCGCAAGCGCGAGGCGGAGGCAGAAATCACCGCGCTGCTTCAACAATCGGTAGAAATCGAAGAGGCACTGCTGCCGCTGCACGACGACCTCGACGCGGTGCAGGACGAAGTTCGCCTGCTACAGGATCGTGTGCGCCTTCTTGAGGAGGAGCAACGTGTGCAGGAGCAGCAGCGCCAACGGCGGTTGGGGGCGTACGTTGCACAGAAGCGCGCCACCGAGGAGCTAGTGAGACAGCTGGATCAGCTTCGACACGCACGTAGCGGTGCGCTGGAGGCCTACGAAGCATCACGGCGTTACGTGCGGCTGTCGAGCCGTGTCCGCCCTGCGGAGGTGCTGGAGGAGAACACGCGGCTGCGTCTTGGGCTGGAGTCCTCCACCGGCCGCTGTGCCGAGGCGCTGCTGCGAAATGCGGAGGCGGTGCATGCGCTGACGCTTCTGGCCGGCGAGGTGGCCGCTGCGGAAGAGCGCATCGTGGCCCAACAAACCGACCAACGGCGGCGTCTCGTGTGGGCCGGCGAAGAAGCGGAGGCGCATCGTGCGGCGGCGGTGCAGCTGCGGTACAACGCGCAGGAGAGCATCCGGCTCAACGATGATGCGGTTACTCTGTCGAGGTACTCGGACGACAGTCGCTCCTCTTCTTCCTATCATGATCATCATTATCAGGGCACACCGACAGAGTTGTTGGACGTCGCAGTGGAAGCGTGCGCGGAGGCCCTTGAGCAGTGGAAGCTGTTCGACAGGCGCGTTGCAGCTCCCCTGCTGGAGGGTGCGCAGAGCGTGGAGGCGGAGCTGCTGCTGCTCCTGCGCGGTGTGTCCGGTGCTCTTCACCGCGGCACGAACGACGTGAACTTGCCGCCCCCGATCGGTCGCAACGGACGCGAGCCACCGCTGTGTCATGCGTGGTTGCAATCAAAGATCGTCGACATTCGCCGTGATGCGGAGGGACGCTGTCGTGCGCCGCTGAGTGCTTTCATGCAGCACATCTCTGCGTTGAGGAAGGCTTTCGAAGTAGACCCCAACGTGGAGGGCGCGGGCCCCGCCCCTGCCTCGCCAGCCGTAGCGGCTGCAGATCGGACCGACACGAAGCCGTCCCATTCATTACGTGCTGCGCATTCTTCTTCCGCACCGTTGTCAACGGCGCAGGCGTCTGAGCATGCGTTGGCGTTGGAGCGTGGGCTGTGGTCCACGTGCGATTGTCTAGTGAGTCGTCTCCCTCGCCTGGATGACTCCTTTGTGTCGGCGTACCGCGCCATGCGCAAGGCGTGTTGAGCGCCTGCGATCTTGCACGCATCGATGTGAATTCCGTTTTCCCTTTGAGCCTTCATAGACGTTGTGCTGCTGCGTTCGTTTCCCTTTTCGATCTGCTTTCTGCCATCGCGTGTGCATCGACTTCCCCTCGCTGCACACACACACACGCTGTCGCTTTGAACGAGCTGAGACACAAGGGAGGGAGGATCGACCTTTCTGAAAAGGAAAACAAAAAGATTTACAGAAAGATATGCGCAGCACACACGTGAGGTGCAACGTCAACGCACGCCGCGCGCCCGGCATTTCCATCGTCTGCGTCCCCATCCGTTAACTACGGTTTGTTTTTGCTGGTCTTGACTTGCTGGCTTTCGAGCACGCTCCGTGGTGTGACCATAGGGAGCGCGCATCAACAGGGAAGGTGATGTACCTCATCTGTGCCTTCCACCACGTATCTCATCGTCCTCTCCCGCTTCCCTTTTTGCTGTTGTTGTTCCGGTGCGTTCTGAATCGACGTTTTCCCAAAGCCTTTCCGTGCTCTTCACACACCCACACGTGCAAGCAAGACTTTTTCATCTCCCCACTCAACCTCCTCACCAAGAACAACGATGGCCACTCCTCGCTCCGCTCCCCGCAAGGCCGGTGCCCGCAAGTCGCACCACAAGCCGAAGCGCACGTGGAACGTGTACGTCAGCCGCTCCCTCAAGGCGATCAACAGCCAGATGTCCATGTCGGGCCGCACGATGAAGATTGTGAACTCGTACGTGAACGACGTGCTGGAGCGCATCGCGACGGAGGCCGCGTCGATTGTGCGCGCGAACAAGAAGCGCACCCTGGGCGCTCGCGAGGTGCAGACGGCCGTGCGCATTGTGCTGCCGGCTGAGCTGGCGAAGCACGCCATGGCCGAGGGCACGAAGGCCGTGTCGAACTCGTCCCGTTAAAAGAAGAAAGCGGCTGTGCGAGTGACACGACTCCCTCATTCACCCTTTGCTCAAAGATGTCTGAAGATATATATTTGCTCATCTGTCTTTGAACGGTGATGCAGGAGGCGATCCTTCGTCTTCTTCTCCTGCACTATAGATTCTGTTATTGTCTTATTTCTCTCTTCTTTGATTTTTGTACTTTGTTCTTCGTTTACGTTTGCGGATCGATCCTCCCTCCCTCTAAGAGAAAGTCCCTCCCCGACACCCGTTGTGGCTGCGCCTTGCTGGGTGTGTGTGTGTGTGAGCGAGATGGCTATACATACATATATATGTGCGGTCTCGTGAAGGCGTTTCGCTTCGTGCGTGTGTGTGCGCGCAGGAGGCGGCGCCTTCTTCTCCCTCACCCCCTCCCTTTTTCGAAGGAGGTGGGGAGCCGACACGCTCATCCAGCAACGGAGTTGCCCACCCAGGGTGAAGGGGAAGAAGAAAGGAATACATACAAATATATAGATGCGCGAAGGAAAAAGAGGTGCTGTGTGGGCGACGCTCGCTGACATCAACGCAGAGAAGAACAATCGAAACCAATCGCGGCGGTAGAGGTGTCCGCTTCGCCGTGTGTGTTCTTCGCTTGTTGTTTCCTTTGCCGGTGTTTTGGCCCCTCGCTGGGAGAGAGGAAAGGAGAAGGTCTAGCTGCGGCGGCAACGCATATGCGGGGTGTGCTCCTCAATAAAAATAAATGCCGCAGCAACGTCAGCTCTCTTTTGTTGTGAAAGCTGCGTTTCTTTCTAAAGGAAACAGCTCTTAGAAAAAGGAAAAAGGTGCTCGCGGCGTCTACTCTCCTTTCAGTAACAACAACGAAGAGTGCACCTGCCTTTCTGACCTCTCTTGATTTTCATCCTTCTCCCTCTTTCAGTGCTCCCCACACCGCACGGTTCATATTGCCTTCTCCCGCGACACGCGGCGAGCCGCTAAAACCGACATCTGAAGCCAGCTTAGCCTTTTCTGTTTCTCATTGTGCGTACTTCCTCCTGTATTTATTTTTTAAGTACTATAGATCTCTGTTTTCGGTGCTCCATTGGCAAAAGGAGTGCCACGATAATATGAGCTCACCAGGCCGCGCCCCCTTCGTTGCTCCTCGATGGCTCCCGCACCGCGCCTGAACCAAAAACAGTTGTTGTGCTTCACTTTTCCGTTGCCGGGAAGGAGACTGCAGCGCTCTCCCGTTGCCGTTTCTGGATAATCCAAAAACTATACCATCTCCATTGCTTAAGTTAGAAGTTCTGTTTTTGTTTTCTGCAGTTTCCCCTCCGGCGTCGTCGCCCAGCGCTCTCTCTTCGCCGCTCTTGTCCGCTCGTTCTCGTCGAGGGGCCTGAACTGCAAAACTCGGGAAAAATAATAATAAGAAAAAATCCGAATGAAAAGCCACCACGTCACGGTGGAGCTGCTCGACGCGGTCGTGGTGCCCGTGGCTGCCCCTGCCCACGGCCCGGAGAGTCCTTCGCAAGCTGCAGGTGCGTCAGCGTTCCTCAGCACCACAGATGACAACGCCGCCAGCGTTCCGCCGCTGACGTCGACGGTGATGGCGGCGGCCAGCGTGGACACCCCGAGCAGCACCTTTGAGGCGGCGATCTGCACGGAGCTGCAGCGCCTCATCGATCACTGCGAGGAGGTCTGGGCCCACACCATGCGCTTAACTCGCGTGGCGGTGCGCAGCGTCGTGATGGACCAGAATTACGCCATCGCCGTCACCTGCGTAATGCTGCTCATCTCCTGCGTCCTCTATCCGCTCACACAGACGCTGCTTTGCACGGTGCTCTTCTTTGTCTTGTACGGCCTGTGCATGGGGCTCCAGGGCTACCACTTCTGGGCCCGCGTGACGGAGATGAAGTACCGCACCGCGTCCGTCACGTCGGAGGTGCTGACGCGGTGGTGGCATCGGGTGCACGAGATGCCGCTGCGGCAGTCGCAGACAGCCGAGGAGCGGCGACGCGTGTTTATCGAGTCGTTCGCGCAGCTGCCCGCGAAGGCGTTCCGCATGGTCGCCGTTGTCGACGAGCGCACGGACCGTTTGAAGCACATTCACAAGAGTTTAATGGTGAAGCGCTCCAAGCGACTGGATGAGGCGACGCTGAAGGTGCGGCCGTACATTGAGCCGGTGGGCATCTGCAAGTTGATAGACGTGATGCGCATCACGCTGGAGTCGGACGCGATTGTGCTGAAGCCGCTGACGGACCGGGCGCGGCCGCCACGCCTGCCTAACTTGATGCTGTCCAACGCAACTTTTATTGAAGACGAAGACACCACCGATGACAGCGATAACGAGCGTGAATCCCGCACGGCGCTCGGCGGTGGCAACACGATCTCCGTCTCCCATCACATGGAGTACTTTGTGCACCGCGTCTTCCTGCTGTTTTGGGGCCTTGCCATGCTGCTGACCGCCGGCGCGGGCGTTGTGTTCTACTTCACCGTCGCTGCGCCGCTCGGCGAGGGCGTCTTTCTCGATCCCGCCGTGGCACTGCTCGGCCTGCTCCCGCTGAACGCGATTGTGCTGAATCGATTTCTCATCTTCTACGCGAACGTGTATTTGGATAAGCTGTTCCATTACATGGTGTCGCGCCGCTCGTACGCGCTGGACGATCGGCTGCCGCGCTTCTCGTTCTGGCCCACCGTCGTCACGATGGCCCGCGTGGTGTTTCGCATGCCGCCGCCGAATGGCGGCCGCAACCCGCTCGTCTTCGCCACGTCGTTGGTTGACGTGTTCGGGATGGCCACGGTGGTGGCCATGTTGGACCAGACGGGCATCGTGACAGACATGGTGCCTCTGCCGCGGCAAATCCTGCTGCTGAAGCGCGACCCGAAGCAGGAGAGTTCCTCCAGCGAGGACAGCGACGTCGGCGCTGTTTCTGCGAGTGCTGCCGCTTCCTTCTCGCAGCGCAGCGAGCGCGAGGCCCGCGAGCGTCGTAGAGACATGCGGAAGCAAATCAAACGAAAGAAGTATCAGGAACAGCGCTTTGTGGAGCTGCGCCTCGCCCAGTCATCGCGGCAGGACTTGGCGGTCGAGTTCGCCGACGACGACAAGGCAGTGCAGAAGAGCTCGAACTACTTGAACCCGCTGTGTCTCGCTATACTGGTCCATGCTTTGGCCCGCGAGCCGACCCAGCTGGCGACGTGGACGGAGCCGTTCCGCTTTTGCGATCGCTCGCTGCGGTGGTCGCGTGCGCTGCACTGGATCCCGCGTGCGTGCGGCTTTCACGACAGCGTTGCCCGCAACTTTCTCGTGCTGGCCCGCATCTTCGTGATTCACACGAAGGCCGCCAGCGGCTACCGCGACACCTTTCCGGAGCAGGCGTGCTCGTATTTGGTGGAGGGCAGCGACGGCGCGTTGCACCTCTTCACGATGGGCACGCCCTACCTCGTGTGCCGGCACTCCTCGTCGCACTGGACCGGCGCCAGCGTGGAGGAGTTCGACGAGGGCGACAAGGCGGAGGTGTTGTACATGGGCAAGCATCAATGGGAGGAGGGGCAGAGCCTGGAGACGGTGGCGCTGTCCCATCGCATTCTACCAGAGCGGTACCGCCGCTACGTCGCGACGCTGCCGCGCAACCCGCACCGGTACAGCGAGTTCTTCTTCCGCAACGGCGCCGAGGTGAACGGGACGACCACGAAGGCGGCACGCGCCGGTCGGCGACGGCGGCGGGAGGCGTGGGCGGCGACGCGGGCATCGAAGGCTGCGGTGGCAGCGGAGCGTGCAGGCGGCGAGGGTGCAGAGGAGAGGGAGGAGGAGAGGAGGGAAGGCAGCAGCAGCGGCGGAGCGCACACGCGCACCACGAATCGCTTTCCCAGGCGGGCAGTGAGAAAGACGGCACGAGGGGAGATGGGGCAGCCGCCGAGAGAGTCATCGTCCGCCGTTGCATCAACGAGGATGGCGGATCACAGCGAGGAGGAGGGAGGGGAGGACGGACCGTTTGGGCGCACCTTTAAGGCGCGTGACCGGGCAGAGACGTTCATGTACACCAGCGACGCAGAGGAGCACAACAACGGCAGCGTGCGAAGGATGAGTAGCAGCCACCGACAAGGTGGAGAGGAGGAGATGAGAGAGGAGGATGACAGACGCCTTGACGGTTACACGGCGGGTCGGAAGAACGATGAAGAAGGAGAGGAGGACCAGTATGAGGAGAGCGAACTGGATCCTCACATGGCAGGCAGCAGCAGCAGCAGCTTGAACAAGTCTGGTGGTGGCAGCGGTAGCGGCAGTGGCACGAGCGGGGCATCGAGAAATCATCCGCGGCATGGTCGACGAAGCCGCCGTCGATGCCGCTCCGTGCCGCCGCCGCCGTCGCCGTGCACCACGCGCCCCCCCGCACTGAAGTCGCGTAGTCGTTCCCTCGGCGCGGTGCCCTCCGATGTGGTGGGCGACATCGAAGAGGACGACTGCCTCACCGCCAGCACGTTTATTCGCCTCATGGCCACCACCTCTCACACCTTTCTCGGCCTGGTCGGTTTGCAGGACTCGGTACGGCCGAATGTGCAGAGCACGATGGCGCTGCTCGATGGGGCTGGTGTTCGCTGCATGTACTTCTGTGCCGACAACGAGCGCCAGACGAAGAGCTTTGGCAGTCGTGTGGGCCTCGAGACCGATTGGAACTGCTGCATCTCGCTTAAGGAGGACGCCGTGGCACTCGACCCGCACAGCATCCGTGCGCAGCTGCCCTTCGGCATGAAGTCCATCCGCAAGCACATTCTGCACGTCGATGCTATTCCACTGCAGGTCAGCCTCTTCTCCCACGCCCTCGGTGTGTCGAAGCGGGCGATGCTGTCCGTGCTGCAGGACAACCATGAAGTCGTCGTGGCAGTCGGCTCCGTCTTCAGCCACAGCAACGTGCGCAGCTTTGTGCAGGCGGACCTGTCGATTGGTGTGCTGCCCACCCGCCGAGGACCCAACGCGGACAAGGACGCCACACTGAAGCACAGCCGCATTGTCGAGCCCTCCGACTTCGCCGTCGCGAACAGTCTCAACCGGGACATCCCCCTCTACCGAAACGTGGCGGAGCTGATTGGGTGCAGCTGCTCCCTGCGTGCCCCGCCGACGACGTCGATACTGCCTATTGTCGCGATGATGATCCGACAGGCCCGTCTGCGCCTCAGCGGCATCGGCAATGGCGTGGAGTTCGTTCTCCACGCAAATTTTTTCTTGGTCGTGGTGAACGTTGTCTTCCTCGTGGCCGGGGCACCGCTGCTGTTGACGCCGTCGGTGACCGTCTTTGAGCTCTACGTGCAGATCCCGATCTTGGCGACGTGCTGCACCTACACGGCCTTTGCTGGGATGGACCCGATGCGGGTGATGCCGTCGCGCCACAACCACTTTGTGCGCCGCGCCATCTTCCGCCACAGCGTGGTGGTGTGGTGCCTGCGGTACACGGCGTCGGCTGTGGCGCTGCTCGCCCTCGGCCTCACCGCCTCGACGCGCCTCTGCCACGCTCGTGTAGTGGATCTAATCAACTTGGATGACCAGGAGTGCGTGGGTGCGGCGCAAGGCTACGTCGCTCTCACGTTCAACTACTGGCTGATGGTGCACTGCTGGACGCACATCAGCCGGCACAACCCAATCTCCCCGACCTTCTCGCTGAAGCTCGCCCATGGGCGGCGCTCCACTTACCTGTTTAAGTCATTTCGATGGCTGTCCGCGAGCTTGGCTGTGTCGCTGCTGAGTGTGGTGGCCGTCGTCCTCGACACACCGATGGGCGTGCTGGGCAGGGCGTTCTTCCCCTCTGTTGCGCACTTCGTCGTTGCGCTGCTCTTCCCGTTGCTCATTCTCGCACTCGACTGGCCCATTAAGCGGTGGCGCGAGCGTCGCTTCACCAACATGCAAAAGTTCCGCAAGCTGTCCTACGGTACCCGACTCGGCATGCACTCCCCACGTGGGGACTACGAGCCGGAAGGCGTCACGTACAACACCACCGCCGCCACCAGCACCAACGCCGCGGGTCTCAGCACGGGTGGCAGCGGGTCGGGCGAGGACATCAGCGTGCCGGAGAATGCCAGCGTCATGACACGGGTGAGTGAGTGGTTCTACCGCTTTGCGAGCATGCGCGGGGGTAAGTTGGAGCTGAACTGTGTGTGCTGCGACCACATTGGCGGCAACTACGCCACGTACCACACCGTCGCAAACGTTTGAAGCACAACAACAGAAGCAATGAAGCGGCTCCACCAATTTGCCTGGCGTCGAAGCGGAGACGTTGCGGGGAGAAAAAAAGGGAAGAAAAGGCTCTCTTTTTATTCGTTTTTATCTTTATAAAATGGGGAAATGCTGTGACGGTCGTTCGATGCGTGGAGAGGGGAGGGGAAGGAAGGGGGAGGGAGGACGACGCTCCGTTGCGCGCATTTTCTTTCACACCTTCTCACATCTCCGGTTGTGTGAACGCCGAATCCGTTGTTTACTCGTAAAACACGAAAGCAGCTCGTATGCGCTAAAAGAAGAAGAAAAAGACAGTAATCGTAATCATACTCGGAGTGCGTCAAATCGAAGGCTAAGTGCGGACGATCATGCAGAGATGGGTCTTGTTTCCCTTTCTTTTCCTGTTTTTACAGCACCTACGACGATACTGATGACGCGCGAAGATGAGCGAAGAAAGAGGAAGCATACATATACACGCAAACACACAGCGGCGTTTGCTCTTCTCCGCCTAGCCTGCTTCTCGTCCGTGCGCTCGCGCCTTCGGATTGCGAGAATTACACACGTGCTGCATGTGCCGGATATCGGCTACTTACCTGTGGAGGCTCCACGCAGACAAAATGTATATATACCGTTTTCAAAAGCTCAAGCACATCGCGTCGTCGCTGCTGGGATCTCTCACGTGCCAGCTTTTACTTCTGCTGCAATCGCGTTCTTTTCTCTCTTTTCCTTCTTCTCCCTCCTCGGCTCCGGATGCTCATCTGCACTCCCCCCGTCCGGGTGTGCTTCGCATGCAGCCCAGGTGCTCTCAATACATACGGTTCCGGTGAGCGCCGCTTGAGGAACGGAAAGTGAGGCGCGATCTTTTCGAATACCGGTCTCCTACGCACACCGCGACTATCTTTTTTCTTTGTGTATGGAGGTGTCGTGTGCGGGTTCTCCCCACCATCAGCATCTGCCTGCTTCGCTGGTTCGTTAGCCATTCAACATTGAACACCACGAACACGGAGATGAGCGAGGTCGAGTTTCTGCTTGCGCTCCCGACGCCTGTGGAGGGCATCGAGCGGTACATCTCTCGCGACAACACGCTGGCCCTCTCGGTCGAGTCCGCCGCCGACCTCGCCCACCGCTACTACGCGGCAGTCCAGCAACACCTACGCAGCGCCGCGCCGCACGTGGAGGGGGACGTCATTCCCGCACTTGCCTTTGCGCTGCGCCTCTTCAACGCAGAAAACTTCAGCGGTGAGCTCACCCCAGCTGAGCGTACCCGCCACGCACACGTGTTACGTCACTTTGGCGGTGTGGTGGAGAAGGGCTACGTAGGTCCGGAGGAGGAGGAGGAGAGCAGTGAGGCGCAGCGGAAGAACGGAAATGAGAACGAAGAAGAGGAGGAGGAGGGAGCAGCGGCGGCTGCAAGGGCGAAGACGACGCAGACAGGCACCAGCGTCTCTGCGAAGACGTCTGCGGCGGCACGCGAGAAGCTGCAGGATTTGTTTCTGCAGCGTCTGTTGACGACCGACGGCGAGATGCCTGTATCGGTGATGCGTCTGCCTGGTCTGCTGCTGTGCATCCTGGGCATCGCCAAGGCCGAGGTCGAGGCGGGCGTTCCACTGATCCCCTTCACATCGCTGTGGCGCCTCCGTTCTCTCTTTCGCCATCAACTCTGCCTGTCGCACCGCTCCAACACGATCTTCGTAGCCCTTGCCGACTGCGTGGACGCCATCTTGCGCCTTCCTACCGAGGAGCAGACGGTGGAGGCGCTGCTCGAAGTGGGTCACGTCCAGGGCTACTACCACCGCCGTGATCTCGCCAAGGAGAGCTTCGACGCCGCGCGGCGCATCAGCGGACTGACGCTGGAGGAGACGTCGATGATGGGCGTACGCACTCGGTGGCAGCAGCATCAGCAGGTGCAAATGGTGCTGGATGCGAAGAGCAGCCGGCCGGTGCCGCCGGCGTCGACACAGGAGGAGCAGCCGAAGACGGTGATGTCAGAAAAGGACGGGCACGATTTGCTTGATCGCCCGCGGGAATCACCCGAGACCGCCACCTCGTCGCTTTCGCCGCTGCACCCGGAGGACAAAGCGATCCTGCTGGCGCTCTGCATGGACATCCGCAACAACAATCCCGACTACGGCTTCACGCACCACCACATGATGATCTACATTGAGCGCCTGTTGGCGGATCCGGCCCCCTCGCCTTTCGTGCTGCGCTGCCAGACGCTGCTCATGCGGGCCCGACTGGAGGCCCATCGTAACCGAGTGCAGGAGCGCGCCTTCATGCAGCTGACAGAGCTGTTGGACCAGTACTCTGCGCGCCGCGATCCCCTGCACGAGACCTTCGCGCGCACGAACAGTCCCTACTTCTACAGCGTCGCCTTCCCGCCTATCTGGGCACTGAAGCGCGAGTACGCCGACTTCTGCTTCGACGCGACCCTCTTCAAGACCGCCCTGGACGTGTACGAGCAGATACTGGACTGGGAGAAGATCATGGAGTGCTGCGGGAAACTCGATAAGCGGCGCCGTGCGGAGAGTCTGGCGCGGGAGCTGCTGGAGAAGGATCCACAGAACCCGATGCTGTGGGTCGCGCTTGGTGAGGCGACGCACAACGACGCGCATCTGTGGAAAGCCTGGGAGCTGTGCGGCCATAAGATGGCGGCCCCGATGCGAGCCCTCGCCCGCCTGGCGCTGGCGCGCGAGCACTTCGATAAGGTCGTCGAGTACTTTGACGAGGCGGTCCGCGTGAACCCGGTCTTTGGTGGCGACTGGTTCACCCTGGGCTACGCCTCACTGCGGCTGAAGAACTTCCAGCGCGGCGGGGAGGCCTTCACGCGGGTCTGTCAGATTGACCCGGGCGACGCCTTCGGGTGGAACAACCTCGCCTCCATCATGCTGCGTGAGCGGAAGCTGCGCCCCGCCTTCAACGCGATGAGCCAGGCCATCCGCAACAACCGCCGCGACTGGAGGATGTGGCAGAACTACTTCCGAATCGGGTGCGAGCTGAAGGAGGTGGCGGAGACGACGAATGCGCTGCGCATCGCGCTCGACATCGCGCAGCGCCACATCCAACTCGAGCGCGGCACGCTGGAGCTCTTCGTGGACAACACGATCGCGTACTTAAGGGGTGAGATCGACGGCACCTCTGCGGATGCCGTGGAGGTGGATGGCGCGAAGGCTGACGCGCTCGTGTACCGCAGCCTGGGCGTTTTGCCGTCTGAGGAGGACATCCACCACGTCCCCGTAGCGCAGTCCATCGCCGCGGCAGTCGCCGACGGCGAGGGAGAGGGCGGGGAGGAGGAAGAGGGAGCAGAGGACTGGGCTGGTCTGGTGCCCTTTGGGGCGGAGGTGGCGCTGCCGGACTCCGCCGCCTGGGGCAGTCGCAGTGCCCACGACACGGCCGAGCACGCCGCCCTTTTAGAGGGCATCCGTCGCCGTCACGCAGACCGCGTGCGGGCCCTCTTCGCCACCATCCTCGCGCTCTTCGTGAGCGACCCCGACATCTACGCGTGCGCGGCAAAGCTCTTCCGTTTTATGGATGGCCCGATGGAGTCCCTCCGCTACCACCAGAAGGAATTGCGTGCCTGTCAACAGAAGGATCAGTGGTCGAGGGAGGACGCCCTCTTCACCCGCACCGTCGAGGCGCTCGAGGGGATGTCGCAGGACCTATTCGATGCTTCTGTGGCGGCGCAGGAGGGAGACGCGGCGCATGTGCCGTTTACGCAGGCGGCGACCGCTCTTCCCCCCACCACGCCACCACCAGCTCCTGCTGCGGATCAGCAAGATAGCGGTGCTGGTGCTGCTGCAGCGGCTTCCGCTGTTGCACCTGCTGGTGCGGTGGGTGCGACGTCGGTGCCGACACCGTTGAGGGGCGAGGCCCTCCAACAGGCCATCGTGGACGGTTTCAAGGAGTTGCAGACGAACATCAAAGGCGCCTTGGACGCGGCGGAGGAGCACATGGCGGGACACGCGAGCTACCAACGGCTGCGTGAGCTCGCGGCGCGTGTGCGGTGCGGTGTACAGGAGGCGAAGGCAGCCTTCGTATAGTGAGACGGAGAGAAAAATGCGGTCCATTTCCCCCACTGCCGCCTTCTCGTTTGCTCCGCCGTGAACCGCCATCACCTGCGCTTCCTCGTCATCACTCCGTACGTCGGCTGCGGCGAGAGCGCCATCGCACAGCACCTCCCCCTTCTGTTTTTGAACTATTATTATTATTACTATTCCATCACCTCATGAACTGCACCTTTTAATGGCTGTTGTGATGATACCGCGACTAACTAACAACGCGCGCTGGGCAATAAACTCTGCGCGCTCTGCATAAAAATGTATAAAAGGAAATAAGATGGCCCGACACTCGCACAGAGGACGGCTTCTGAAGAAATAGGAGAAGACGCTGGAAAAGGTGCGGTGCAGAGGTCGCTGAGTTGGGCGTTGGTGAATGCTGTTTTGCCAATCAGACACGAGACAAGCCCATGAGCCTGTGCAACCTGCATCCAGCAGAGCGTGTGCTTCAACGTTGATACCTGCAGAGTTTATGCTACTCTTCTCTTGAAGTGCTTCTGCCATAGCTTTACCGTTTTTAAATATGCAACCCTGCTCTTTCTCTTTCTCTATATTTCGAGTGAACGCCGACCTCACTGTCTCCTCTCGCTGCGTTGCTGCTGCTGCTCCCCTCCGCACCTTCTCCGGTTTTGGCTTCCATCGGCTCTTTCTTGTTGTTGTACTTCCTCCTCTCGAACACACGCCCTTCAGTTCAGTTGACGTTTTTGTTTTTCTTCTTCTTCGTCTCTCCTTACCTCTCTGTTGCTGCTCCATGTCCTCCTCCGCCTCCGTTGCCGCCTCCGCGCACTCGACGGCCGGCTCGGGTGCGATGGTGAAGCGCAAGGTTGATGACCGCGTCAAGACACTGATCGACGACGTCGCCCGCCATCAACACCGCGGCCTCATCTTGTTGGTAGGCGATCGGGCGAAGGACCAGGTGGTGAACCTGCACCTCATGATCTCCCGCGCCAACCACAACGCCAAGCTCAACGTGCTGTGGTGCATGCGCGAGGACCCCGATTTCGGCTCGACCGGCAAGAAGCAGCAGGAGAAGCGCGCCCGCCTGGAGGTGAAGGGCGGCCTCTCGACGGAGTCGTCAAAGGAGGCGTTTCAGACCTTCCTCGCACAGACCAACATCCGCTTCTGCAAGTACAAGGAGACGCACAAGATTCTTGGCCAGACGTTTGGCATGGCGGTGCTCCAGGACTTCGAGGCGATCAACCCGAACACGCTAGCACGCACCATGGAGACGGTGAAGGGCGGGGGCCTGATAGTCATCCTGTTCCGCGCGATGCGGTCGCTGAAGCAGCTCTACACCATCGCCATGGACGTCCACGCCCGCTACCGCACCGAGGCCCAGAAGGATGTCGTCCCGCGCTTCAACGAGCGCCTTTTGCTCTCGCTGACGGACTGCGACACCGCCATGTGCGTGGACGACGACCTGAATGTGCTGCCCATCACACCGAAGATGCAGGCGTACGGCAAGAACAGGAAAGCCGACGCCTACGACGCGGACCTCGCCGTGCAGGGCCGCCTGCAGCACGAGGTGGACCTGAACAACGTGAAGGAGAAGCTGAAAGCCAGCGGCGATGTCGGCCCCCTCGTGCAGATGTGCCAGACGATGGACCAGGCGAAGACGGTGCTTTCGCTGATGCAGACGGTGATGGAGAAGCGGCTGGACTCGACCTGCGTTGTGACGGCCGGGCGTGGACGCGGTAAGTCCGCCGCGCTTGGCATGACCATCGCCGGGGCGGTGGCGCAGGGCTACAGCAACGTCATGTGCACCGCCCCGAGCCCCGAGAACGTCCAGACCCTCTTCGAGTTTGCGATTCGCGGACTGAAGGAGCTGGGCTATCGCGAGCGGACCGACTTCGAGGCGCTGCAGGGCGTCAGCGAGGAGTTCGCCAAGTGCTTTATCCGCATCAACGTCTTCCGTCAGCACCGACAAACGGTGCAGTTCGTCTCGGCCACCGACACGGCGAAGTTCGCGCAGGCGGAGGTGGTCGTGATTGACGAGGCGGCGGCTCTTCCGCTGACGCTGGTGAAGAAGATACTCGGCCCCTATCTGGTCATCCTCAGCTCCACCGTCTCCGGCTACGAAGGCACGGGCCGAAGCCTGTCTATGAAGCTCGTCGCCGACATGCGTCGCAGCAGCGGGAGCGGCTCGGCCGATGCACGCCAGCTGAAGGAGGTCTCCATGGCGGACCCAATCCGCTACGGTCCGAACGACCCGGTGGAGCGGTGGCTAAACAAACTGCTGTGCCTTGACGCCACGATGGAGAACACGCAGCTGACCAGCTCGCCTCACCCGAGCACCTGCGAGCTCTTCTACGTAAACCGCGATGCCCTCTTCTCCTACCACCCCCTCGCTGAGGAGCTGCTGCAACGTGTTCAGTCCTTGCTCGTCGCCGCGCATTACAAGAATCAGCCGAACGACCTGCAGCTTCTGTCCGACGCACCGGGCCATCACTTGTTCGTGCTGTGCTCCGAGAGCGTGGAGACGTCCGCTTCCACGGCACCGACGCGCACGAGTTCCCCCGCGGCGGCGGTGCCCGACATTTACTGTGTCATTCACGCGTGCGAGGAGGGCCAGGTGAGTGCGCAGAGCATCAAGAGTCACCTCAGTCACGGCTTGCGGCCCTCCGGTGACCTCATTCCGTACACTCTCTCGCAGTATTATTTGGAGGAGGGATTTGCGAAGCTGGCCGGGCTGCGTGTGGTGCGCATCGCCACGAACCCGGCGCTGCCGCGTGCCGGCTACGGCTCTCGTGCGCTGTCGCTGCTGCAGAAGTACTACAGCGGGTCGATCGCACTGACCGCGGCGGACTCGGCGAAGGCTGGCGGCAGTAAATTCGGTGATGCCGCGAAGGGATCGAACAGCCGCAACGATACAAGCACCGAGAAGAACGACGAAGGTGTGGAGGCCACTGCCTCGCCGGCGGCCGTGCTGGCCCCTCGCTCAAACGTTGCCAGTCTCCTTACCCCGCTGATTGAGCGCCCGTACGAGCTCGTGGACTACCTCGGTGTCAGCTTCGGCCTCACCACGGAGTTGCTCAACTTCTGGAAGAAGGCCGGGTATCTGCCGCTGTACGTGCGTCAGGCCGCCAATGAGCTGACGGGCGAGCACAGCTGTATCATGGTGCGCCCCATGGGCTTTGATGTCCGACTGCTGCAGAGCGAGTTCCAGCACCGCCTGCTGTCGCTGCTGTCGATGCCCTTCCGTCACCTGTCGACGGAGCTGGCGCTGAGCCTCGTATGCGACTTGGAGGCACACGACCCACACAAGCTCGCGGCGGCGACGGAGCTGGCAGAAGTGGATCGGCACCTGGTGCGCGTCGACGGCGTCCTGCAAGCCACGCACGACGACATCGCAGCCACTTTTACCAGCTCCGACCTGCAGCGCCTGCGCCTGGTGTCGACCACCTTCATTGAGGGCGGCAACGTGCTGGACCTCGTCCCGACGCTGGCGAAGCTGTACTTTGCCAAGAGGCTCTTCCGCGCTCCCGACGGCACGGACGGCGTGGTGCTGTCGCATGCACAGGCCGCGGTGCTGCTAGCGATCGGTCTGCAATGCCAAACGATGGAGCAGTTGGCGGCGCAGCCGGCCTTTGCAGCCGTGGCGGTGCAGCAGCTTCGCGCGTTGTTTCTCAAGTCCCTCGCCCGCCTATCCGAGCACCTTTCGAACTTACAGAAGATTGCGAAGAGGAAGACGGCGGCGGCCGCACCAGCAGCGGCAACGGCGTCAGCCACAGCGGCGGCGGTGCAGGAGACGGGAGTGGACGACGAGGAGGAGACCGCGGAGGAGGTTTTCGACAGCGAGGGCAACCTGAAGGGGCTAAAGGTGGCACGGAAGGTCAGGTCGCAGGTGTCTGTGGACACAACGCTGCTGCGCGACACGGCGAAGTCCGTTGCAGGAAACGCCGCCGCCCCTCTTCGTGGCCGGGAGAGCCTGCAGGACGTCTTTTACCGCCCCAAGGGCAAGTCATCGCGCCACCGCTAAAGCGGGTCGTGTAAGTGCTGAGAGAGCTGATGAAGATGGTGATGGGGATGGCGTTTTGCTGCCGAGCACCGTGACAGGAGAAGTGGCGAGGAGCGACTCAAACGTTGACGCTCGGATGTGGTAAGTCTGTCGGACCGGGACGCACGCGACCACATTTTGTCGCTTCGCGACACACAAAGCTTCTCGTTGTAAAAAGTATAAATATATTTTGTTATTTTTTGCCGTTTAATCGTAACGCGCGTGGAGGAGGTGAGCGATGACACCGCGCTGTCGTCGTGATGGAGCAAGGGAGCAGCAGCACCAGCAGCAGCAGCAGTGGCAGCAGCAACGCCGCTCCCCTCCCCACCCCTCCTGAGCAGTTCGCACCGACGATTGACTTCGCCCCCCACCGCGCGTGTCGGGGCGGGAGTTTCTTTTGCTGCCGCCTCCCTCACGCTCTGTTAACGACGTGCCTTCGAAGGCGCGCAAAGGTAAAGTAAGTGTATGTTCTTCCTCTGTCGCTTAATTGATGCAACTAACACTAAAGGGAAAACGCTGGACCACCAACAGCAAAAAAACAAAAGCAAGAAGGACGTCAGAGTTGGAGGACTCCGTGTCACTTGGCGGATGAACCGCCATGTTAGCTTCTGGGGTTTAAGAGCTTGGTTCGACGTTTGAACTGCACGCGTTGCCTCGTATCTTCGCTTCCAGGCTTCCCCTTGTCTTATGCAGCCGGAGGATGAAAGGAGAGCTTTGTTTCCTGCTGTCGAGTGAGAGAGACGTCAAGATGGCGAAGTAGGTGTTTGTTTTTGCGATGACACGCGCCTTTTGCGTCCAGCACGATCACCTTCTCGAGTACACGCCGTTTTGTTCTCCTTACCCCTCTCCCTCTTCCCACGTTTAATGGCGCAACTGTTTGGACTCTGCGGTAGGTGTTCAACAGAGCTGAAACCCCAGCATTCCGATAGAGCCCCGCGCGTAATCGTTCGATCATAATTCTTGCTTTCTTTTAAATCTTCAAGCATCTTTCCCCCTCCACACCTTCCACAAAGGAAGCAAAATGACGCGGCACGACATGCCCTTCCTCGTTCTCAACCTCGGGGTGGAGATGATCTTTGTTTTGCACTCGCGGCTGCGCGCTCAGGCTGTTCCACCCGACAAGGCAGAGGACGTGATGCGCGACATCGGGTCCAACCTGTTCAGCTCCGCTTTCGTGGCCGAGCTCTTCACGCCACAGCCGCTGTACACGCCGGCCTCCGTGTTGCAGGTCTTCGCCACCCTCTCCAACAGCTCCGTCATTCACCTGAGCGACAACTCCATGAAGAAGCTATACGACTTGGTGTTCATGACCGTGAAGTATCAACTCCTGACGCTGCGTCATCCGCTGGAGCTGTACGAGCTGACGTTGAACCACCTCGACACCGTGCTGGAGCTGGTGCCGACGTCGGTGTACCCACGCGTCGCCGAGGCAGCCGCGAAGGTGCGGGGACTCGCCAGTGCCTTCACCGTGGGCGACTGGGCCACTCTTCGTCGCTCGCTGCTAAACTTCTTCGGTGGCCGTCACGTGCGGGTCTCCGTCTTTTTGGAAAACAAGGTCCAGAACGCGGCGACGGGTGCGTTTTATATCCCGAGAGACACGTACCTCTCGCCGGCGCCATCGTGCCGGCCGCCCGGTCTGGTCTACTTCACAAAGGTGAACGCCATCGGTCACTTCGAGCATTCCGACGCGCGGCTGCCGTACCCGCCTGCGATCACGGTTGGCCAGTGGGACCCCACCAACCGCACCACACGCATGACCACGAACGGCTTCAACATGTACGCGGCGTACCGGTCAACGTCAACCTCGACTTCTTCTGCCGCGGTCAGGGGCAAGGACAGCTTCGCAGATCCGCTGAGCAAGCAGACCCGGGAGATGCCGATGCCGCGTCCGGCGGCAAGTCCTGCCGCGGCGACACACGGGGATCACGCCGCTAATCAAGTTCCTGCTGTGTCGACGAGTGCAAACTCGCTCTCTCAGGCAGAGCAGCAGCGCGCCTACGACGCAGCGGCAAACTACCTGGCAAAGATCGCCGGTGCGACAAATCGCGCACCCGGTCAGCATACCTTCGAACTGGAGCTGTTTGAAGAGCCCGCTGGTCACACGACCGTGAGCTCGATGGCCTCTTCCACTGCGTCCAAGACGGTCACCAATCCTCTTCCCTCACCATCTCCTTCCGCGGCTGCCGCCACTGCTGCCGCTGCTTCGTCCTCCCCAGCGGTGCCACTGTCGCGCATGACGGCGAGCGCTGTCCAGGAGCAGAACAAGAAGCTGCTAGGCATTATGAGCGATTTCGACAGCCGCAGAAACGGCGACGTCGGTTCCTCCAAGCTGAACAGCGGCAACAACGGTGTTGGTGGCGGGGGCGATTTGCTGGACATCATGGATGAGGTTTGATGCACGTGGTGTGTGTGTGTGTGTGTGTGGGCATCGTGATAGAGGCAACTCTTTTATTGCTATTATTCTTATTTTTCTTTCTCCCTCTCTTCATGAGCTGTTTTTATCGA